AGTCTAGCGAGCTTTTGTATCCATGAATGCATCAAACTGAGGCAGGAACAGATGGATTCTTGGTTGAACTGTCAAGCTTCTGTGGGCTACGTATCGGGAGATGTTCTGCGCATCGGCGTTTTCCATGTCGCGATATGTAGAAGTCGACATCAACCCAGGAATCGGCACAACCCCCCCGAGCCTTCAGCGACGCCAGCAGAGACTGCCGCGCCAGTGCTCCCTTGCCCGGAGATCGCGCTGAATGAAGGCCAGCCTTCAAGCCTTGGGTGGGTCTTGGCTTGGCTCTTTTGTCCCTTGTCGTGCTCGCAGCAGCAAGAACTAAGAGCTGTCTTCATGAGAAAAGAGATGTACATGTATTTTACTATGTACCTTGAGCAACCCAAGAACCCTCAACTGCCTGCACCCCTAAACAGATATTCGAGCCGCGCAGCTGGCTTCACTTGCCCCAAAGCAGCAATGTCTATCGAGGCCGGGCTGGGTCTTGCGGGGGGGTGTAACGTGTGCGAGGCCTTCCAACTGTGCTTGGGTTGCAGTTGGGGAGGATGGATGTCTGGACGGCGAGGTACTTTCTTGAAGTGCTATGCTATATGTTGGTTTGACGAGAGCATAGGAATGCAAGTTGGAGATGCGGAAGATGCGGGATCAGAAATGCCTGTCGAGGCAAGCTGAGCGGAAGCAACAGAAGAAGAAGGCCAAGCAGGCCAGGGGAATGCTGCCATAGTCCATGCCCCCACGCAGGGATTTCTCATCTGACAGTTCTCAGCGCTGCACCCTCTCTTCATTTAAGGCAGCCCCTGAAACCAGGCCAAAGGAACCTTGGAAGAGGACGGCGAGAAGAAACAGCAGCAGCGGGAACATCTACTCAGCTTCGGGCCAAGAGGTTAATGATTAGGGGTGTCTCTTTCGGCTGGGGGCCATTTTCGGCGCAAGCCCATGGTATTTGATAGGATGCGCAAGTCAATCGCCTGATCTTGATGTCAGGTCTTCTGGAAGCGGAACACATTGCGGACCAGGGTCAGAAGGCAGAGGCTTGGACATCGCGGAAGCGTGTGTCATAGTTCAACACCAACAGAACGTTCTCAGTTCCAGTAGCTTTCGGCTCTTGTTTAGGACCTCGCGCTGGGAAGTGTTCTGCACACAGTGCTTCTGCGCCAGGAGCGATCAGAAGATCCAGAGCCACCGCCCGCTCCAGCACAAGTTCCCCCACCGAGCGAAACGGATGAGACAGCATCAATGATCAGCTCTTTGTCTGCAGCTAGAAACATGATGAGCACAGGTAGTTTGTGTCCGTGACAGGCCATGTAAAAAACCCCGGAATCCCGGAACAAAGTCAGGAAGTAGCTGGGTTCAGGCCGCCTTGCGTGCAAGATTTTGCAAGCATTAATTGCAGTTGCGCGCCTTGCCTCAACGCGACGTCGCGTGACAGAATCCGTCTATGTGGGGTGTCCTCAGCCTCAAGTCGAGGTGGAACCACCAGCACTTCGCGCCTGCCAGGCTCATCGAACAGCTTCGTAGCCAGAGCTGCAAGCCCCCAACGTTTATGCATACAATGGTAAAACTGGTTAAACTTTGAGTGCTCGAATAAAGGGGCCGGTGGACGTTTGGTTTAGTTTCGTGTGCAGGCCGCATCCACTTCGAGGAGGCTCTGCCGGAGCTGGACACAGTGCAAGAGGCCAGGGTCAACTTTTACAAGTGTAGCGTGCAGGACCATATGAGCCACTTGCTAAATCCCGCGCCTCTCTAGGTAGCCTTGGGCGGCACTGCTAAAATTCGCTGTGAAAGCAATACACCCAAATACGGAGTCAGTTCTATCCTCATAACTTGAGCTGATTATCTGGCTGATACAGCGCATTTCGCTTGAAGTCCGCTGGTAAGAGTGCTCCTGGTGCTCCATGACATAGCAGCACGGTTTTGATTGGGAAAGCGATAATACCTAACCCCAAAAGCGATACCCTCAATGAATGGCGCAGCCGTGCCTATATGCTCGTAGTAGACAATGCTCTGCGAGCAGTGGCAATGAGCCACCTGAGCCAGACAGGACGAAGGCGACAACGAGCGCCGCCCTGAAGCTGCAAATTCAGTTCCCTCACATGCTTCGCTTATTGTGTGTGTGTGTGTGCTTCGTTGGCGGTTTTTTGGCGTCAGCGTCACCAGCAAGAACGCACCCAAACAGATCTCTGTGAGCCAAAGCCAAGGCAAAGCTCTTGAAGAGCTGTTCGAGAAACATGTCTGGTACATCACCTTCACCGATGAGGTGGGAGCCACTTGGAGCCCTGTCCTGAGACTTGAAAAGCAAAGCGTTCACAGGCCTTCTCTGAGCTCAGAAGGCTGGTTCGCAGCCAGCAGAAGGCCCGGGCTTTGAAGTTATTATTGCCTGGGTTGGGGATTCCGGGTCTTGCGAGATTTCGGATCAATCAGGTCAGTCAGAGTTTGCCTCCGCAAGATCTTGCAGGGCCCCGAGGTAGCCCTACTGTCCGAAACGGCAGGCTGTCCTCGACGTCTTCACTGCGGGGGCTCCCGATAGTGAGCGTTTGTTCGTATGCAACTGGCTGTGTCGGCTGCAAGCTGCACCCAGGCTTCGTGACATGTTTCGGTCTGCGGCAGATGTACTCAGGTGCTGGCTTCTGGGAAATGGCCTGAGGACCGGGCGGTCAAAGGGCACGGCGGGTCCCGAGGAAGCAACTCAAGCTTCTGACAGGAGCACTGCGTGAAGTTGAACGACAGCGGGTACCAGCGCCTGAAGCGAGCAGCAGGCGGGAGGTCAGTGGAAACCTTGAGCCGACCTAAAATGCGAGACAGCGGAACATGCCAGCCTTATCGGTATGGCATCCCAGCACGGCCATTGAGATACATGTATCGCATGTGCGATGTTCAAAAGCAGATAAACTTTGAACAAAATGTACACACGCACACACATAAATAAATATAAATATAAATATAAATATATATATATATATAATAGCTCCAGAAAATATATGTATATACACTAACACTAGATAAGCATCTACTTCCATTTAATATGATGACACAACATAGCACAAGATAGCATAATGCACCAGTATCTGCTGCAGATTACGCCCCGCAAGGCGGCCAGCAGCACATCCTTTGGAGCCTCTCGGTCTGTGAGAGGCTTTAGCTGAGCGAAGCAACATGCAAACCCGGACTTTGGGGAGAGATGCTGGAAGGGAGATGGTGTTGACATCCCGGTGGTGTAAGGTCTGGACATGCAGTATGTCAGAGCGCAGAAGTCTTTCGTTGAAGTCATCAAGATTTGGCATGTCCTCGGCCTCTTGGAATGATTTGGCTGCCTTCAGGAGCTGAGCAGTACCATTCCTGTGATGTTTCTGCCTGCTGCCTCAGGTCAGGAGGACTCGCAAAAAGCAGCAGATGCCTTGATCGACGAGTGGAAGCGATCCGCCAGAAACTTCGAAGGCACCGTGGCTACACCAGGGCAACCGGCAACCGTTGTGTATGTCTTCTCTCGGGGGTTTTTATGTCTTGAGATGTCCTGAGTGTTGATGTCTTATTTTCTGTAGGGTCGCAGGGCTGAGGGCTCGTTTCTACATCGATCTTCCCAGTCACTGCTGCCGCGCTGATGCAGCAGGAATAAAACGGGCTCTCCACAAGAAGGGTCACGAGGAGTTGCTCGGCTGCTCTTGCTTCCATAAGCTTAGTTACAAGGATGCGGTGGACATTAGCGTCATTCGGAGGAGCAGCGTGCAGGAATTCGCGTATGTTGAGATGTTGTAAAGGTATCAGCCCTGTCCTAGTGTGTTTTGCTGGCCGGGTTGCATTGTGTCACACAATTGTGCAATTTTACCCTATAGTTGTTTGCGCAAGTTTCCGGAAGACAGCAAGTCTCATCCTTCTAGCTATGGTCTACTTGCCAAGATGTGAGGAACGGCGTCCGGTACCCGAGATCAGTGATGCGGTCGGAGCTTCAAGATAGTGACTCATATGCAGACCTTGTGAGTAAGCCACGGTGCGGGTGCTTGGGTACAGGGCAGAGGGTCGCTTGCCTTACAACTCGCTTTTGTGCGTGCTCTTGCAAGGGCCAGCTGCTGCTAGCTGCGTAATCGAAAACTTCGCAGAAGTAGCAAGATGATCAGGTGATGTGTTCTCCTTGCGCAAGTTCTACACCCTGGACTGGCGCACCATGAGATCCCTCTTGATGGATGACGCGGAGGGAGGCGCCTGCAGATGGGGATGTCGGTGCCGCGAACATGCAAATTCCAAGAGAAAGCACTGCCCTTCATGTTTGTAGACCCAAGTAGAGGCCGACTGGGCGCCGGTGAACAGCCACTTGGGTCAAGGAGGTCAGGGCTTGCGGGGTGCGGGGCTTTCATTTTCCCAGAACTAGTCCCAGTAGCAGACCTGCAAGAATCCAACAGGGACCCAGCACTGCACTCAAAGCTACGGCACATTCGCATCAGCGAATCTCTTGGGCCGCACAAGCATCTCTGAGGTTCCTGTTGAACACCTCGGAGCAGGAGGATGCCATCATCGAGAAGAAAGGGCCAATGATAGTGCAGCTTGGCTTCAGCGTGCAGGTTGCGGAGCGAACTCGTGAAAGGCACTCACCTTGTTGGTGATTCTGCCCGAAAGTCTGAAAACATTGGCAGTGGTAGCTGAGAAAACACCGACATATTGATATACTCAACACATGAGTTAAAGAGGTAGATGCCAACGAGTCTACGAGGTGGTATAGTCGTAAGTGAGGTGAGTGCCAACCCATAGGCGCAAACCCACTGCAAAACTCAAATAAGCTCACCCTCTGCCAGGAATCCCGAAGGCGCCCACGATTGCGGATAAACAACTGCAGTAGCTTTAAGCTCTGTATAATTTCCGCTCCAGGATTGGGCGGAGCGGCTCCGGCAAGACCCTCTGCCGTCAGCTTAGAGAAGTTTGCCCAGCACAGGGATGAGTACCGGGGGTTGGGGGGGCTGGGCTGAAGGCAGTGACACGGTCAGTGAGTGCCACATACAGGTTGCGCCTATCGCATGTTCTACCAGTGGGTCGACTACTGGAAGAAGTCCATGGAGGTGCTTGCTAGAGCCGCCCGCAGTAGACGCGCCCAAACTACAAGTCGCTACGTCGCTACAAGTTAGGTGGCTAGCATGTGGCTTCAGGCAGATGGCGCCGCTTTGCTGTCCTCCGGAACCCGCGGCTTGGTCCACCTGAACCAGGTGCCACCTGAATCCTGTAGCCTCGATGCTTTGCACGCATTGACACAGCGTCTGCGCACACGAGTTCCGATCTCATGGCTTCTACGTGCTTCCGTTCCACGTACTTCAACAATCTTCAACATAGGAACTGAACCCGGACACCCGATGTAGACAAGGTCCACGTTGAAACTGCTCCCCGCAGGTGTTTGTGACGCACAGTGCCAGCCTGGCAAACAAGGCCGGCTTGCCTTGCTAAAGAATAGGACTGAATAGGGTGTTTGACTCCAAGTTGACATTGTTGGAGTGTGGGATTTCGAGATCCACGCAGTCCGCCCAGCACAGCTATGTTTCGGAGTTTACGGCAGAAAACAACCCAGTACTGGTCCACAATGCTCCAACTACATACATACTGCTGACGCGAGCTGCGTTGCTCCCCTCCTTCGTACTCACTGGGATTCCCCTCAAATGTTTTGGAAGGTAGTCTCTTCCCCATAACGTTGCCGACTAGCTGCAGAGAACGAGTATTTTGTTTTCCAACTTCTCTCAGTGCCGCAGGTGCTGGAGTACTTCTCGAATCTGCAGCTGAAAAGCCAGGCTGGTGTGTGGCTTCAGGTTTGGGGCATGTCATGTGGCCAGGCGTAATTCGTCTTTCTGCTGGCTCTATTTTCTTCCCATGTTCGATGCCTTTGCGGAAAAGGGGGAGAGGGAGAGAGGGAGAGGGGGGCGGAGAGGGAGGAGTGCAAGAACATTGGGATCCTGTGCCCACAGCCACCACGCTTGGCATTAAGTAGGGCCGGTGGGAACCGCCCGGGGGGGGGGCCTTGGCCCAAGCACGACAAAAGAAGGAAATGAAAGAGAGAGCAAGAGCACGAGAGAGTGAGCACCGTGATGCAGATATATGCAGATTGGCAGAATGTATCTGGCTGGAAATGGGCCCCAATCGGAAGACAGCGAGGACACGGTGCCGCAGACGCGGCGTTCGGGGCTTCTGGAGCAATCAAGGCCTCAGCCCGTACTCCCAGTGATTTCAGCTTCTTGGGTTTGCATCGCGGGGTACCACAATAACAGCTTGTAAGAGCACGAAAGTTCGAAGGGATCACCGCACATCACTGGCGTGTCCTTGTTGCAGATCAGCCCTGGGAGGAGCATCCTGAGCCCCCAGCGTTTGAGCTGCTTGTCGTCTTTTCACGTTGTCGTTCGGCATAGAGGGCGAACACTCATCACTACTTACTATGAAGCCAATCAAAGTGTCAAGCAAGTTCGTGGCCCAAACCAACACACCTGGACCTTCAGATGAGCGCTCCGGACCCTATGCGCCTCGGAGGCATCCCGACAACATCAAGCACGTGAAGAGCTTCCCGTTGTTCATCACGCCTGCGGGCTGAACAGGGTCTTTGGGATGGCTTGAAATTTTTTACGCGAGGTTTGCGGACGACAAGGTTGGGCTTCGTGAGCCTGCTTCTTCCCTGGTGGACGGTTTAGGGTTAGGGCTTAGGGTTTAGGAACTTACCTTATATCGCTGCTTGCGCAGGTATCGGAAGTTCCTCATCATGCTGGACGGTAGCCTGTCGCAAAGAGACGTGGACTTGCTTCGATGTCGTCGATGGCGCTTCTGCCAGAGAGCACCAACACAGTTGCCGAGGTTGCCTGGATCGGCCCTTCTTTCCACGGCGAAGCACCGGAGTTGTTCACCCAGACAAGGCGCATGAAGCGCCGAAGAAGTGAATTTTCTTGATGTTGGCCCTCTTAGAGCCCTAAACCCTACACCCTAGACCCTAAACCCTCACTTGTTTCTGGCCCCTCTTTTCCTTAGCTAACTCAGGTGGTCCAGGCAGAGGCTGCGGATGGCTTGGATCCCATCTCCGCCCTCCGCGAGCAGCGCCGAGCCGCCGTCAGGGCCCAGGCACCAGCTGTCCTGCTGGTCGCGACAAAGTTCAATGCGGTGTCATCGGAAGCAGCAGATTGAGGGGCTCCTGCGCCAAAGCACGTCAGTTAGTGAAGATTTAGTGTCATGGCAGGCCTTCGGCCGGAACACTGCCACCGCAGCACCGCGCCCGCAAATGCAGGATGTGCTCAAGCAAGCCACTCTAATCACTAATGCTGCGAGAGGCCATTGCATGCAGAGAGCTGGCGCGATCATGACTTGCCCAGAACCGAGGCCGAGGACAGAGTGCTTTATGAGGTGGACTACGACCTCTTCAAGCTCAAGTTTTGGCCGAAGCTGTGCCAAAAGGCCCGGCTGGGGAAATCTGAAACCCTGAGACGAGCATGATCCGTAAGCCACTTGAGGTTCCCTCCGGCTGCGATGCTGTGCTGGTCTGGCGTGAGTTCATGCACCCTGGTGCTGAGAGATCATGACTTGAACGTCAATCGTAAGTAGTTGAGTTCTCGGCTTGGGGTGCCCGTGAATCACAATGTGACATGTCATGTGCAGCTGTGCGGGTTGCTGGATGTGTCCAAGCCCGTCTGAGCTTGCACAACGGGCATGCGCAGCGACGGCCGCACAGCAGTTCGCTCGTGATGCCCAGGTCATACATCAAGGGCTCCTACAAAGTGCTGGAGATCGGGGCTCGGGGATTGCGTTTCACTGATTGTAGCACGTAGGGTTTGCAAGGTTTCAGGTCGGCTTCCAGATCTCATTCTGATCGGGGATTTGGCCGCCTCTGCTGCTTTCAAGTGGCAGTAGACTCAGTAGATGAGTGAGGATATAGGTCCCAGGGCCCTTAAACTGGTACAGCATATTTCCTACGTTCTGCGTTTTGTGCCCGTCTTTCCAACCTGTAGGCACAGGTTGCAGAGGGCCGAGAATTAAGTAGGAAGCTACCAAATGCGGCGCTGGTGTTGAAGTTGACCTCATCGAGTGAGCCCACCAGAAATCGCAGGACTGCGAGCAAGGCTATTTGGACCTGGCAACCTATCAGGAGATCACAAGCAAGTGCTCACCAGGCCTAGCCGTAACCTTCATAAGAGTAGCAGAGGGGAGAGGGGGTAGCCAGGATTCATGGTCATACAAAAGCCACATCCTACCCCTTCGGTGGCCTTGTCATCCGCTTAGGGACTCAGAGGATCGATTGGAGTGAAGCCTTAGACACTTAAGTTATCTTAAGTCATGACTTTGAGGCATGTGCTTCAAACATACGCAGATTTCGCAGTTTCATTGGAACCAGGCCCAGAGGGTGGGCGAAGGTAGCCTCCTCTGGTCATTGCAGGTTTCAAAGACTTTCGGAAGGAGCCGCTTGGGCAAAGTGGAGGCAAGGAGGCTTGAGTTCGTTTCTTACTGCCCTCATCCACATACGGAGCGTGTTGGTTAAAGGGGGCGCACTGCAAGGGCTCGGATGACCAGGTGTATCGCCAGGACGCATAGGCCCGCTGCGTAGCTTGTCCGGGCTCAGGATCTACGCAGCCTTCAAGACGTACGAGAAGCTCCGGGAGGAGTGGAACTACTTCGACAGGCCACCGAGGGAAATCAGCCGTTGCGTGCGATTTATCTCGGCAACCCAAGGAAAGAGAACAGACACCTTGACTTATGATCCCGAAAATTCCCCTGGAGGAGTTGCCCCAACACAAAACCTCGCCGCAAATCCCTAATCCCGATGCATCCAGTATGATAATCACTGGGTCAACAGCAATCAGTATCTCCAAAAAATGAAAACATCTTCGCTCTCGCTGGAGATCGTGCTAGCTCTTGCAAACTCGCGCAGATAGTATCAAAGACTTGCTGCATGCTTGTCCGAACAACGGCCACAAGGACAAGGAAGAGAGATTGGGATTGACCACAAGTTGCAGGCATTCAAAGACCTCAGCCCTCACAGGAACCACAAGCCGAGAGTCCCGCTCGCTGAGCCCTCAACGAGGGCCCCAGCAAGAAAGGGCAAATTAGTTTGCGAGTGTGCGCGCCTCGTCTTCCCAAAGTGCTGTTTTTTCAGGCAGGAAAAGCTTGGTCTATTGAGGGCCTCCCTGCACAAATGGTTCCAAGATTTTGACTCTTTATACCTGAAGCCAGTTCCCTCTACAACCCTCTCTCTGGAAGCCACGATTTCAACCCAAGCCGCTAAAGCCCTGCCAGGATGGACGTCGCCCGCCATGTCATCCAGCAGCTGCAGCCTGCCTTACTACTCCTTGAAAGTGTTTCACAAATAAGCCTCAGCCAATCCGAAGCATCTGATGTGTCCTGGTTGTTGGAGAAATCTCTGAGCCGAGGAAGCGGAACCCTTACGATGGCCCTCCCATCCACTCGTCTGCCGTCGATGAAGTGCAAGATCTTGCCCAGCAGCTTTGTCGAACTAGGGGTGAGTTGGGGAGACGTGGGCTTGTCAGATAGAGCTTCATGGGCTTTACGTAATGTGTTCAGGGCTGCTGCTTGACACAAGGTGCCCAACATTAATGTGTACTCCTGGGGGAGCCACTCGCCGCTCCCAAACCCAGTGGCGAGTCTTGCAGAGCGCAGTTGACAAGTGATTGTTCAGGCTCGAGCTTGCGGTCTTCTTCATGGTGATGAAGAAGCCTTACGAGGAGCGGTCGTGTGCCAGTCAAGCTCAGTGGGCCAAGTTAGCTGCTGAACTTAGGATGCTTTCAGGTGGCACCTCCTCCCATGCCAGTTCTGTGGATTTGTAGCATTGTAAGGGCAGTATACAAGGTGCAGGACAGCAGACGACTGCCTCATACTGCGGTGGCTGTGGGACAATGTAGGACGCATCTTGAGTTTCAGTCTGGCCACCCCAGGAGCTTTTCCTGACGGGTGACACTTCGCAGACGGTGTCCCGTGCTGTGGAGTTTCGGTTCTGCGACCTCCAGTCCCATGGGTGCAAGCAGCTTTGATGGTTTGGGGCCCCGGCGCTCATGGTCGAGCTGCCCGGAGGTTCATTCTCGACGAGCCCCAAGCAATCGCGGCAGCGGGTTTGCGTGTAGGACCGTGTAGGAGAGCAGCAGCCCAGGTCCAAAAGGAGTACCTCCTAGAAAAGAGCAGCCAAGGTCTCTCTTCCACTACTTCAACCCACGTGAGATGCTTGGTGACTTTTGGTTGGCGCTGGAGTACGGCGTAAGGGTTCCGTCTGGCAGGTTGCGTCTGGCAGAATGGGGGTGATTGGGGATGCATGAGGGTTGAGCCGGGTTTTGGGGCTGGAGGCTTCTAAGGCCGTCGGTACGCTTCGCTGTCTTAGTGGGAAACCATTGCGCATGCGTGTGACTGCGTGTGAGCTTGAATCATCAGGCAGTGAGGCGCTAGCACCCAGCGAAAGTCCCCAAAGAGAGCTGGTGGCGCAGCCAACACCTCAGCCTCAAAGCTAGACCAAGAAAAAGGGGTTGAGGCCGGTAGTGAGGGGAGAATGCAGAATCAAGATGGGAAGTCTGCAGCGCCTTGGAATTTGCATACCCTGGCCGAATCCGGCAGCGTGAGAGCCCAGTCAGACCCTTCAACGGGCAATGTTCAGCAACTCTCCGACACACCATGATGCTTGACAACTCTCGCGAACAGTGACGGTGTATGTTGTATTGGAGGTTGCTTTCTGAAATTTCGAAGAGAGATAGAGATAGAGGGTCAGCACATGTAAGCGCCCGACTTTCGCCTCGACATTGAGCCGGCATGGCCTGGGGGCGTTCCCTCGGGCGGGGAGTGGGGGGATCTTCTTCGCTGGGCAGAGGAAGAAGAAGAAGAAAGAAGAGGAAGAAGAAGAAGAAGAGGAAGAAGAAGAGGAGAGACCAGAAGTCTCGGCGAACTGCTGCAGTGGCGACACACTGTCTAGAGTATATGCGCATGCGTAGAGGACATGCATCTAAGACCTTGAGGAAAGTGCCAGAGCTGGATCAGCTGCTGATCAACTACCGCAGCCACCAGAAGCTGCCTGACCGAGTAAATGTGTGTGTGTGTGAGATTGATTGTGTGATTGATTGTGTGTGTGCGTGCGCGCCATGCGCCCTTTTGGAACAAAGGATCCTTGCGCTCTCCCACCGGGGCGTGGTGCAGCCCTTGGAGCTGGGCTTCCCGTAGCGTGGCGGAAGCCAGAGATTCTGCAAGTGCTTTCTGCCCCTGCGCTCCCGTAAAGATGTGTGTGCATTATAGTCTATAGTCTATAGTGTAAATCTACGTATAGGACTCCTAGAAATGACAGGGTTAGTGACGGCCTTTTGTTCGGCCCTGGCCACGGTGACCGCCATGTTGGTGTTGGCTGCAAAGATTCTTGATGTGCGTTGCCAATGCTTGCACAGACTGGAAGCCGAGAGTGCCCCATATCCGAGCTGTCTCCTTTGCGGGGAGGGGGGGGGGGGGGCAGGTGGGCCAGATGTCGCAATGTGTTGAGGGATTGCCGGCGCAGCATGGCAAAGATCACGAAGAAGAAGAAGAAGAAGAAGAAGAAGAAGAAGAAGAAGAAGAAGAAGAAGAAGAAGAAGAAGAAGAAGAAGAAGAAGAAGAAGAAGAAGAAGAAGAAGAAGTGAAGAAACGATGTGAAAAGGGATCCAGACACGGAGCAGAAAATGCGTCGAGCAGCTAACCCCGAGCGGTTTGGAGATCGGGTGGAGGCGCCGCTCGAAGGCCGAGCTGAAGCCTGGGTGCATCCCCAGGTTGAAGGTCGTTGGACATTTGGCCGCCTATAGCTGGCTGCATCTGGAAAACTCTGCGACACACTTCCTCGCTTTCACTCGCTTCAATGAGGTATGCCATCGACAAGCTGCAAGCCGACACCGGCCACCGGGAGCCTCGGAACAGCACTTGAGTGAGGACAAGGATCACCATTGGCCACAGCATGTGACAGTTGCTCCAGTTTTGACCTGAGTGCACCTGGTGTTGTTCGTGGCACATTCTAGGTTTGCTCGCCGAACAGAACGACCAAACATCCACAGGGCCAGGCGACATGTTAGGATGCTTTTCCCGAAGGGGCCGTGTGGTCTGCAGGTTGGTTTGGAAAACAGACTGACGCAAGGCTCAAAAAATGCTAGACATCAGGAAGCGCTGGAAGCAGCCGTTGGATTTGCGAACAGCACCTGGAAGTACCTGAAACGAGCCGTTACACGCCTGCTTAGGATGGCGTGCTGCCTGTCATTGTCAAAGACGTGGCCTTGGAGGATGCGCTGCAGTGACGGAATGTGTGTCATGGGCTGTTGCCAGTATGCGTAGCTTCGGCTTCTTCGAGCATTCCGACTGCTGGTGAGGATCTGGCCCAGCATATGTTTAATCTCGATGGCTGTGCCTTGGCTAGAGCTAGAATGAATGTCAGGATCCAGCTGTTGCCTGTCCAGTGCGAATGCTGCCTCACTACTTGCTTCAACGAGCCTGCCTGCCATCCACTGAACCAGGGCTACCCGAAGAGTGGATTAAGCAGGATACAGTTACAAGATGTTACAAGTTGAAAGCCTGAGGCAGTGCGGGCATTGCGTTTGGAGCCAGCCAGTGCATTCTCGCACGCGCCTAAGTGGTCGAGTCTGCAACGTGTTAGAGCCCACTGGCCGCTTTTCAGAACGCACATGCCAGGCCCAAAGCCTCAAAAACGGCCAATGATAACCAATAGCCCCCTGCAAGAAACGATTAATCCAGTGTGAGGTTCGCAATGAGGCTTCCAGACTCTTGGCAGCATTGTTTCCCAGCCTGCAGAAGTATTACTTGAATTAGATTTCTCTGAAAGCCTGCCCAGAACTTCGATGCAGAAGTCGTCAATTTCTGATCCAGTCGACACCCAGAAAATGTCAGCTCGTCCGAGATGATGGATGTCGTTGTTGCAAATCGAGGGCCAGAGCTCAAGTCTTTGAAGCCGCATCTCTAAGCGATGATCCTCATCGGAATCCTTCTTTGCAAGGAAAGAAGCTGCCCCCATCGCTGTCCAATGCCCTTGTGCTGACTGTGGAGCAATCGAAGGGGCTGGAGTTCGATGCCCCTTGGCTATCAATATGTCATTCTGGCAAAGCTGGGGTCTTGAAAGAAGGCTCGTGTAAAGCATTCAATTTGGAGGCTGAGGCAGAACCAAACGGCTTCCCAGAGGTGCAGGGTTCTAAGCCGTGTGAGAACGCATGGGCGCACGATTTTTTTACCTTAAGCATGTCTCAGTTGCTGCTCCGAAGCGGAAAGGGGGCTCGCATCATTCTAGCGAACTCCAACCCCGCTATGAAGGCCCGGCGTTCTCTCTATAAGTCAGTAATTGTAAACGCTTGCGCGCGCCGCCTCGGCAGCCGGGCCGGCCCCAGGCAGGAAAGGAGGAAAGAGGGTTTCACAAGACAACGGCGGTATCAGGGAAGGGGGGGTGGGGAGGGGGGGGGGGGGGGGTGGGGGGGGGGGGGGGGGGGGTGGGGGTGGGGGGGGGGGGGGGGGGGGGGGTGGCGTCAAAAAATTTTGCATGGGGGGAAGGGTTGGGTTAGGGGGAAGGAGGCCCGATCCGGGCCTGCTTGTTCCAGACGCTTCTCGGCAGGAAGCCGAGGCGAAATACATGTATGACATGTATATACATGCATGAAGCTTTGTAAAGCCTGTGTGCCTGCATGGTGCCGGACACTTCATGGTACTTAGGCTTACTTACCTAAGGTCAGGTTACGAGAGGGATCGCCTAAGTTCCTCAGCTCTGAAACTTTCCTGTTGTCATTTAGAACCCCTAAACTCCAGATGTCGTGCCAGTTATGGTCCTGGAGGATGTCGCGTTTGGCATACGTATACTGTTAGTAGTGTCCGGTCGTCCAGCGTCCGCACTCCACATGCAGATCCAGAAACTTTGCACACCCCAAGCCCTCTCCAAAGGACTGCATCTTGGTGAACTTCTTCACCGACTCGCTTTATGAGGAGTCGCTTGGAGCAGATCCCAGAGCTTAGGAAGCTTAGGATGGAGCGCGCTATAGGATTTTGACTACCGGTCAACCACACCTTCTCTGCTATGTCCCATCAAGACCCGTTATTATGATTCATTGAAGTGTGAGCAGAGACCACCCGTGCCTTAATCAGCTCGGCAAGTCAAAGATTGGCTGTTTCAGTGTATACAGCGTATTGCAACGCATGACGTTAGTTGGGAGTGCCAAGGCTCGTGAAAGGCCGATAGGGTTGTGTACAGGAGGTTGTGGGATCAAGCTGGTGCGACTGACTCCGTCGACTGGCTGTTTTGCCAGCGTTTTTTCCAGCATCCAGGTGGCAGACGATGAAAATCTTCCTGCCCGACCTCTTGGAAGAGCAGCGCCAGGCTGTCCCTGCCAAAGAATTCACGTGGTCCCAACACGCCCTTCATCTTTTTTCACACCCTATCCGAGCCCAGCTGTGCATCCACGGGCCTTCGCTTGTACCTCGAGGACACAACGGCGCAACGAAAGCGTCCACAGTTCGAGAACTTCCGCCACGCGCTGCTTTGCAGCTTGGATGAGCTTAAGGCTTTGCCAGTGTGGGCCCAGTGTGGGCCGTGAGACCGCTGACCAGCTTGTGCCCCGGATGCCCAGAAGCCAAAAGCAAAGGATTCCCATCGATACATCGCAGCGGGGCAACTGTAATCGGGGCCCCATATCAGCACCTACACTTGATCCATCACCACATGCAGTTTGGAGCATGAAAGGTTCTGAGCTCAAGCACCTGTATACCGCCATTACGCGCACGAAGCACGTGCTTCCTGGCATCATGTAGCGTGGAAGAGGATTTTTCCGGTTCAGGACATCATTTTCTCGTCAGCAGGAAGTGTGAAAAGGGGGCCCGTAAAGGAAACTGACCCATTACTTCTCTTGCAAACTAGCGAGACGAATGTCCCACACTGAATTGAACCTGGACTCCCCCTTAAGGCTGGCTTTTGGGTTTGCATGGGCTTGTGGCGGCCAGTTTGCAACTTAAGAGAGTGGTGCTGAGGCTTCTCTTCTTTGAGGAAGACACCGCCAAGGCCGGGGCAGTCAATGGAGAGGATGAGAGGAGAACTGAACTCGTTCCTTCCATGTCGCCCGCAGTCCAGTTTCAACACGGGCTGCGAGGGTTTCGGGTGAGTTTGAAACCCTGAAACCCTAAAATCCTAACCGCACACCCTAAACACTGTTGTTACCCTCCCTTCGATGACACACATTTCCGGAATGAGCCCCTGCAATGTGAAACCCTAAACCCTGGAAGATTGCCACAAAGAAAGGCCGCCCATGTCTTCAAAATGTGGGAAGAGCTTGGCCTCGTCAGCTCGTCTGGCCTCATGGACGAGAAAAATGCCGAGGCGGGGTCTCAGAAGTTCTGTTCCCCCCCTGTTTTTCCACATAAAGACCACCTCAGTTTCCAGGAGTCTCGGAAAATTGTTGTGGCTTTGTCTTCGATATTTTGGTGCGTGCACTGCGACTTGCGCACATGAAGCCCTGCTACTGGGACCGTCCCGCGCGCCTTCTGCTAGCACTTCCCATGGTGCCCTTCCGGGAGAGAACCCCAAAACCCAAAACGAAAAGCAAGAGTCCGGGAAAATGCTTCTTTCTATTTTGTTGGCTTTCGGTTCTCGACATGAGGGAGGGCTGCTGGAACGCTACCACATGGACACCGACCGGGACAATCCAGCACGCACTCGGCGCCCTCGCTTGTCCTCCTCCTCCGCTCTCAGCAGCCTAACCTATTCCTAAAATGCACATGGACCCGCTCCTGTCAGTTTTCTCGCAGAGGAGATTAAGTTCTCGTGTTTGCAATCAGAAGACATAGTGCTAGATAAGAACTGCAGACACACTTTATGTCTGTTTTGTTAATATCAGTTTCAATTTAATTAGCAAGAGAGTTGCGTTGGAGAAAAATGTGGAAGGTTCTTTTCCCGTGTGAACCGCAACAGACAGCACTTGTGAGCAAGATTTGGTTCTTAATGCTGGTAAACCCCCTCGTCGTCAGTTGTTTTTTTGAAGGAGAGCTATGTAAAACGACACTTCATCCGAGAATACCTTGAGCATGCGAGATCATGCATGAATGGAGACAGCTATTTTGTGCTGTTTTACATATCAATGAGAGAAACTAGGGAGTGAGGGGAACTTTTGGTGAACATATGAAAAACTATTTCGACGAGAGGTACGACACACATCTGGTAGCAGCTGCGCAAAGAAACCCTCCAGGGACATCACCGTAATGATGAACGAAGCATCCTCTCATACATTTCACAAATCTCAACTACTTCTCAAGACATAGGGATCTTAGAAAGACACATAAGACAGTTGCTATGGGTACTCTACACACTGTATCACGACCGTTGAGGCAAGAGCCCAGATCCACCAGCATGCCGGAGAGAACCGCGGCAAGGACATGCCAGCGGGTGGGTTCGGGATTTCGCGAGTGGGACCTGGGCGTCCAGAACCAAGAAGCACAATTGTCGCAGCTTTGTGCCGGCAATGGTTGGCATGCTTTTAGCCTCTAGCAAACGGACATGTCTGTACTAATTTGCAGTGGAGCTTCTTGCCGCAGGAATCATGGATCCATATGGGGCACAACCTCCTCAATCGGTGCCCCAGCCGATTTGGATTTCTTCACATGTAGGTTTGGCAATGTTGTTTCCGTTCTGTGGCCCCTTCTCCGTCTTAGCAATTCTGGCTGGCCCTTCCACCAGCATTCTCGCATCCTGAAGGCTTCAAGGACAAATATATGTTTTGCAAGCTGACCTCCTGGCCCCTTTGTACTACCGAAAGCCTTCAGCTGACCCGACACTTGAACATCGTTGAACATGCTAGACAGTAAGATAGAATGCCTTCGCGTGCAGGCAGCTGTACGAGCAAGCGCGGAGTGCGTTCCGACGGGCAGAGGACGAGAGAATGGCTCTTGTCTCAGCGGCTTTAGGCTTCAACCTGCTCTAGAGGCCTGGATTACAGTGAGGCAGGAGTGGCTTCCATTATTTTTCAGTGCTTGGTCTCGGCATGAACCATCATGAGCCATGCTCATGATATCTACGAGCCATCGGGAAATATCGATAAAGGGGCTTGGGCAGGTGGCGATGCTGTCGGAGCAAAGCCAAGCGCTGCGAGACAGAGAGAGAGAGAGGCCGTCCGCTTCAGAGGGCGAAGAAGAAGAAGAAGAAGAAGAAGAAGAAGAAGAAGAAGAAGAAGAAGAAGAAGAAGAAGAAGAAGAAGACGAAGAATAAGCAGAGGAACAAAAAAGAGTAGGAAGGAGAGTAATTAATGAAGAGGCAGAAGAAGCAGAAGAAGCAGAAGAAGCAGAAGAAGAAGAAGAAGAATAAGTGAGACGGACAAATTTCGTTGCAGCCTTACTTAACCCAGCTTCAGTGCCTGAGGAGCGTATCGCTACAAGCTTTACAGACGCATTCTCCCATGTTGTCAGTTCAGTCGAGGCCAGAATCTGCGAAGGCTATCTCCAGGCCCAGGAGGCTTTCAGGAGCGCCGGCAAGCCCAGTGAAGCAATGTCTATCGAAGTCCGATCCCAGAACCAGGAGGTACCCGGTCCCAAATGCCGGCGCAAGCCCGAAGGAATGTCACGAGTAAGTCGCCCTTACTTCCTCGGGTCATTCTATTCCGAGTCATTGTATTTGGGGCAGACTTCGGTTTCCTGCTAGCTCCCACCTCGAGCTTCAATTTCACTTGAAAGCTTGCAATGTTATGTGGGCAGCAAGGACCTTGGAAGATTCCGAAGCAGAGGGCACCTTGTCAAGAGTACTGCCCGGTTCCTGCAGAGCAGTTCCACTTTCCTCTCCTGGTCCTGGTGACATGTGGTCACGCGAGAGCTCCCGCTTTGAGAGCCCCAGAACCCGGACCCCAAGCCCGGACTACAGGACTAAGCACATGCCCCTCTCTCCCCCCCTTCAAGACCCTGAATATTTTTCCAGCTATGTCTTGAGGTGTTCAGCTCTTCCGGGAAACTGCCAAGCTGTTCAAAGAAGTTGGCGCGCGTCGTGAGGAGGCAGGGTTGGACACAGTGTGCCGTGGTGGACAAAGTTGGTCATGTTCCACTTCAGGAATCTGTGGCTCAATTGTATGTGCATCTTGCGGATTGTGCCATGCTTTGGTTTCCGGCTTTGAACTGTGCAGAATTACCAGGGCCCTTAAATTACAGATGCTGCAACGGCAAGCATGGTGCAGGTTTTCTGTATGCCGCCCTCTGACTTCCACAAGTATTGACAACGATTCGAGAAAGGTCATGTTTGCCCCCTACTCCGTATTCAGACGTTTGACATCTGCACGCTCTCGATTCGCGACGTTGTGTAGAGCCGGGAAGGCACGCACGCAAGTCTCGTTACAGCGCTCGAGATTCCCAACCCCTGTGTCAAAGTTTCTTTCAATCTTCATGGCAAAGCAAGGGAAACACGTGAGGCAGAGTGCTGGAAGTTCGGACGCTACCCGCAGAAGGTCTGCCCCGCAGATGACGGGTTGGATGCAGTGAGCTTGACACCAGTATCCATGTGCTTGCGTTCTGGATTCTGGGTGACAAGGTTTCATAGCAGATGAACGGCTGAGTTCTGCGGGTGCGCAGAATCAAAGGGCTTTCTTTTCAGGTCTCCGAGGAGCACTTGGTTGAAACAAACCTTGCATGTTAGTGAAGTCCGCACCTCCGTTGCAGGCGCTCTTCCAAGGCTGCGTGGAGAATACTCAGTGCACCAAATCTGTCAGCCTGCACTAGGCCGCCCTCATCCTTGAAGAGCTTGGCCAAGAACGACCTGAACTCAAGGCACATGAGTCTGACATAATAGTCTGACATGGTCTGACAGCACGCTGCGCTTTGGCAACGGATCTATGTTGATTGTACACGCTTACGCATGCAGCCTCAACCCACGGGGCGGGCACGTCGGCGCAAGCCAGTCCGCCAAACCTTGAGAACCCGCAGCCCGCAGCGTACTGTAAGTGAGCGTGTTGGCGGGAGGACCCCAATTAGCCCTGTTTGCCTTGCTGCCTTAGCCTTAGTTGCTTAGCCGAAGGGCCGTAGAGGCAGCAGGCGGTGCTCAAATTTCCGTGCACTTGTTTATAAAGTAGAATGTCAGGTGGCAGCAAGGCAACAAAGACGGAGAGAGAGAGAGAGAGTTAGCAAGCCTTGGAGACCAGATTCTGGCTTCTTCCAGACACCTTGTTCCAGAGATGCGGGGGTCGTGTAGTGTAGTGGAGTTCTGAGAAAGCCGAAGTCCGAGGACCCGCATCAAAATAAACAAGCGAGGCAACTTCCCAGAACACCCGAGAATCCTGGTTGTATCCTGGCAGATTGAAGCTGCCAAAACGTGGTCGGAAGCTGGAATGTTTGCTCCTGGGCAGATGATACAAGGCAGCAATCGTCCGGGTATTGCGCATGTGTAGGATTTTATCCCCATACTCAGCGACCAGAAAAACACGCGGGTTAGGAATGAAGGAAGCGTAGGAGCGTTCGCTTCTCAAAATACCACAATGTCACATGACATGAGCTAAGACTCTTCAGGTTCGCGCCGCGGAACTCTATGAAGAGGAGAGCTACTTCGACGAGTGCATTCAGGCGTATCTTCTTGCAGACCCCCGGCTTAGAGAACTCGAAGCCCGAGCCCGGAGCTGGAAATTTGATTGAAGCAAAGCCAGGCCGCATTTTTCCCACCAGGCAGCCCATACCACTAGCTCGCCTAGGAACAGAAGGAAGAGGTGGGCAGGGTGGTGCTGCTGGCGCACCAAGTCGAAGCGCTGAAGGCTCGGGCAGGGTGGGCAGCTGGTTGTTCCAAAAGGCTCTCTAGGTGGGGGGGGGGGGCCGCCTTCAAGTCTGAGGCTGAGGAGTGCTTCCGTTACCTACAGGCCTCTTGCCTCAGATGTCAGGTTGCAGCGAAGAAACATAGCAATTCGGCACTTTTGGCTATGTCAGTCTGAGATAACGCCTGAGAGCGACAGGGGTCGGGTTCCCGCTTTATCGTCTCCCCTGTTTCAAGTCACGTTTCTTGGCCAAGTCGGGCCACTGCGTCAACTGTGTCTCCTGCAGCTGCTCAAAGGGGTCCAAGCGAAAAAAGAGAAAAAAGAGCTACATCTACGCAGTCTGGTGCATCAGAACGTGGCAGCACCAGCCCAAACCCTTCCAAAACACCTCCAGCATACCTCCCCTGCCCTTCAAGGATGGTCCTGCTCCCCAGATATACCTCAGAAAGTGGAGCCGAGGACATCGACGATCACGGCAGGGCCGGTGAGCTGTATCTCCGTGAGGAGAATTTCGAGCAAGCTGCCTCCTGCTTTCAGAGCCTTGGGCTGCCACTTGAGCTTATACGGCTTAAGGCTTCTGAGATCTGAGTGGGGTCATGAAGTTGAAGGGTCTTGGGACGGAGTCTCTGTCTCTCTGGTTGCTGACCTTGCTTGGCAGCTTCTCCGCAGCAAGCGAGGACGTCCCAAAGTACGAAGCTGGCCCCCATTTCATGTTGTGTCAGCCCTCACACGAGATTCGCAAGCCATGTCCATGTTTTGCAATCCAGGAGTGCTGGGATGTTGGGGCAAGAGGCAAGACGTGCCTGTCCCCTCGCATCTTTGAGTTTTTTGTTGAGGTTCCAGGGTGCGACAATAGCTTTATTTATTCCGCACAGCAACATGCATTCACATCTTCCGCATCGCTGACTGCAGCAAGAAGAATGCGAGAAGCCCGGGCAGGCGTTTTGCTACCAAAAGCTGGGCCAGCCACTACGGGCGGCCGAGCGTTTTTCGGCCAGTGGCGAAGCAGATGCTCGGACCGAAGTATGGAGCAACACTTCATAGTGCTGTGAACCTGTTGTCTTCAGATCTACGCTAGCGTGCAGCTGCTTCAGGATCATCTCAAGCAAGCCGCCGCCCTCTATCATGAGCATCAGGCGGGGCAAGCTTTGCATCTGCTCGGCTCTATCTCCCGGTGTTGCCCAAACTGCCCACATGCAGCAAGGCACTTGGCAAGGCTGTCGTTGAGGCACCCTGAATCGGATTGCTTGGCCATCTCAGCCCTGCTGCAGGAACATGTCGCCGAAGTGAAGTGCTATCGCAGCCTCCTTCAGATGCTCACCAGGGAGTTGACAGCTGTCACAGTCCTTTGTGGACCTTGTGTAAAATGAGTCGATCGAACTTATTTTCATGTAATACTAATCATGTTGATACAGCAACTGTGACAACTACAAAAGATGATCAATTTACAGATTACCTAACCAGCGAACTTACATAGTAACTTATCTCTGTAAGGTTGGAACCCAAACTTTTCTGAGCATGACCACCAGCAAGGATGGACGACCTCGCAGATCGTCAGCCGTTCATTGAAAAGTGCATTGACTTGCACAAGATGCCGCCCGGCGACGATGGGCCATACAGCTTCACCTGCTGTGAGCCTTGCAGCAAGGTCATGCAACAAACAGTTTGTTGGTTAGTTCACCTGCATTGAATAGCCTAGGCTGCAAGAATGGGACCGGGCTGCTGAGCTGCTGGAGGAGGGGTCGGGAGCTGAAGGATGGGGTGGTAGTCACTGGTAGTCGATTCCTGCAGGAGTTGGCCGAGATTGAACCGGTGATGGAGGGCGACTACTTAATGGAGGCCGCAAGCTTTTATGAGAAGGCGCACCCGGGAGAGGCCTTGCACAAATGCTGAAGTTCGAGTGGCCAAAGTCTCCTAGTTCAAGAGGCCTTGCTGGTAGATCTTGGTAGCCCTTAGACATCCCATAAAATCTCCAGCCAGGCAGATCAGCCCAAGAACCACGCCCGTGTCTTCGAGAAGCTGGCCGACCTTGGGGAAGTCCCGGGCCTCTTCCGCGCCGCTGACGCCATTGGGTTCCTCAGAAAGGCTCACAGTCGGGGGGGCGTGGTTTGGGCCTCTGAAGGGACGAGGCTGTACTGCAGGATTCGGGATGGTTGGGAGTGAAGCTTGTACAGGCTTTGCCTTCGTCAGTCTCTCCAGCCGATGGGGCTTCGAATCCCAAAATAGAGAGAAGCAGTCCGAGCACTTGAGTGCGCGGGGGTTAATAATGCAAGGCCCCATGGTAGAATTCCCCAAGGAGCTCCGTGATATGGCTCAAAACTGAAAATGCCAAAGGCGGCGGAGCTCTACTCCGGCATCAAGGCCTTGGAAGACAGGCTTCGCGTCTCAGAGAAGCTCAGTGAATTCAAGGCGCCATGAGACGGCAAACAAAGTTCTTAGTGCTGTCGATAGGCTGTGCAAAACTGTGCAACATGCATCCTGGGTGGTGCTGAAAACCCTGCTTGGTATGAGGGTTCTGCGTTGTCGCTCAGGTTTCTGCAAGTTTGTTGGGGAGAAGAGGGCATGCTACCTACACCAACTCAAATTAAGATGTTTTCGCGGAGTGGCCTCTGAACCAGCTAGACATGTGGCAAGATGATAGTGACATCGGGAAGGTGTGTGGGGATTTGGCGCGAGAGATGCAGACGCTGGAGAAGGCGGCGGACTTTTACTTCAAGGCTTCTTGGCAGCGATGTTTGGCCCTGGACCCTCAAACAGATGAAGCTAATTTAGCCAGCTAGAACTCCCACGATGAATCCTGCAAACCTCTTCTTTGCCGAAATTGGCAACCCCGCCATGTCAAGAAAGTCGGATTCTGGGGCCCGCGCCTTGGTGGCTGAGGCGGGAACAGGCGAGGCTCTTCAAATGGCTATGGAGTGCATGCTTCAGGCCAAGGAGCCTTCATTTGGTGCTGCTTGCAGTGAGAGGGTCAGAGGATCCGCGCTCGCAATCTCGAGCGCTCTCGCAGGACTTCCGTGCTGCCTACAACTATTTCGACCACCTCTCCCCTCATTGGCAGTCCAGGCTGCCCCGTATCGCAGCTATGCAGGATTCCTACTTCCACGTGTTCTATTCCGCCCGCTCATCCCATTGATTAGCGGCTCAAACCCCCTACTGTAGCCGCTGGCCTCAAAGGTAGAACATGGTAGAACGGGTCAGCGCATCTGTTTTGGGATTCGGAGCCCTGTAAACCGTAGTTCTGCCACACAAGTGGCATGCGCCATACACTTGGCATGCGCCAGTTGATTCCGATGAAGTTTAGACATGTTGATTGGCGGCAGGCCCAAGACCATCGAAATGGAGATTGCGTGCCTTGAAGGCGGGGTGGGCATGACTCGTCGACGCGGACTGAAGTTCGCTTATCCTTCCAAACATCTGACCGCTCAGCAGCTAAGCGGCTAAGCGCCATGGTCCCTGCAGGACTGGGTCAATTTGATGCAGCTGCAAGGCGTGTCATGGCAACCTTGCCGGCGAGTACTGATGCCTCCCGATGCCCGGCCTGCCGAGTGGTCGTTTCCGGGCTGAGGGCTTCGCAGGGATCTGGCCGCGTGACCTGAGATCCCCGTAGTTTCTATCTGCTGGCAGTAGCTCGCGGGACCGGAGATTCAGGGTGCATAATTTCCAGACCTGGGCAGATGGCCAGGCCTGAGCCTCCCATCCCAGGCCAACGACGGCAGGAAATGGCACTGAGAGGATTCAAGCTGGCGAATAGGGATGACGAGAGACCTGGCATTTCTGGACTTGAGAGGTTTCGGCCGGTTGGATTTCGAGTGAACTTCCTTCACCGGCAGGGTTATGAGAGATGAAAAGAGCTTGAGGTTGTAGGCATTGCATCAAGCAGTCTGCCAGAGTCCTGGATGCAAAAATGGCGTTGATGCAAAGAACGCCGGAGGGGCTTTTGATTCAGGAGTTCAGAGTTCTGCTTCGTGCTGGGTTGGTGCGCAAGGAAACGCAAGAAGTTTTTGGAGGACTTTCGCAACGAAATGCCAGATGATCAAGCTGCACCTTGGCTTTTCCGATTGCCAATGCTTGAAGAAGCAAACACAGCGCATTCTGAAGGCATTCATGCAAGGTGCATGTTTCGCAAAATCTAATGTAAAGGACGATCCTCAGGAATCATCCACTGCAGAAGCCCGTGCCCCCGGGCGGCAGCCCGGGCTCGCATCGAATCTGGTGTCAGCCGGTTGGCACAGGCACTGATCTACATGGCTGAGCTGGGCGATGACGCCGGTCAGATCTGTGAGCTATTTCGGCAGTGCAAGTCCCAGGGCTGCAAGGATGGGGCGATTCTAACCTCGGCATTTGGGTTCCCCGCTGCCGTCGTGCAACTGCCATGAGCTTGTTGCAATCAGAAGATGTCAGAAAGTCGATCTCAGAGTTGCGTGCTGCCAGTAGGAGCATCCACACAAAAATACCAGAACCGAAAGGACCTCCTGATCCTCCAGCATTTGTAGTCGTATTGTGCATGTTTTGTGCAAAAACCCAACTATTCCCAAATCCTTCAAAAAACCGTGTGGGTAGGCTCTGTGAGGAAGCCTCTGGCTGCTGTTGCCGCTGCTTCGGAGTTGGGTCTTCCGGACTCGGCCTTGTCTGTGCTGAGGGGGTGCCACTCGGCTTAGAGTCGGCGATGCGAGGCTCAGCGCGAACAAATTAGGGCGCGCATATGCTCGCATCGTATGACCTCCGACATGTAAGCAGGCCATGCTGCAATTTCGTTTCCTTGCTCTGAGCTTCTGAGCTTCAGGCCCATACCCCACACCCCGAATGTTGCACGCTCTTCGAAGCATGACTTCGTCTGGGGATGTGTGTTTCGAAGCCTTGATTTCAATGATCATGTATCAACCCCGTCTAGCAGTAGGAGAGAGGCATTCCAAGAGCAGAAGACCAGTGTCCATGACCAGATCCGAGGTCAGGTATCGTGGGAGGACCTGCCAGGGTTACGGACAGAATGCGTAGTGGAATATGAATTAAGCCCGAAACGCTCCAACCAGTGAATCCAGAAGCTCGGAAGTGTGCAGAGGAGTGGCACGGCTACACTCTGGATATCTTGCTCACGGCCGTGCAGCAGAAGACTTTGAGCCGTTTTGAGGGCACAGAGGTGTAAATCTGAAAACCCTCACGCAGCCACTCAGGTTTTCTGCCATTTCACGTCGGCAGTTTCAGGGTGTATATGTGGGTGACTGAAACTCTGCCATTGACTCCCGCAAAATTGGACACGGATTTGTGAGGCTTGGGGTAGTCGGGTAGTTGGGGTGTCACTGCTTAAGCCCTACAGGCTTTGTTTCGCTTGGCATCGGCTTCTTGAAGGGTTCTTTCCCGTCGCACGCCTCGGCTTCAGCACCCCAAACCATATAAAACCTAACAAAAGCTGCGAGCCAAGGTGAGAAGCAGATGCGAGAGCTTTCCAAAGCCAGTGCGGAATTGAGGAGATACCTTCCCGAAGGCCGGCGAGCCTTAGTTTTTTTTCGTTCGGGTTTTTAAGGGGCTGAAGGCGACTTTGGAAACTTCGGTTTGCAGAAAGCCGCCATGTCCGAACCCAGAAGCAAAGAAAGCCAGTGCTCGGCTGGAAGGTGCCCTGCGGGAGCTTGCTTGCCTTGACTATGTCGATGCCGTGCTGCGTCGCCGTAACGGGGATGCGGGGAGTGAGAAGCTCGCGCTCCTCCGGTGCATGTCTGAAGGATGGGCGAAACAAAGGATGTAGGATGTATAAAGCCAAAGTTAGGGAGAACTTTGCGCTCTGAGGCTTCGCTTCTCGTATGCCAACGTCCAAGTGTCTCCAGAGCTCAACTTGTGCTTCGGAGAGGAGCTTGCGCTGGCGAGGTGTGCCAAGGCGGTGTGGTCTACAGCCGTTCAGCACATGAGTAGCTTCCCACAGTTCAACGCACGACGCATGCTTTCCTTCGGTTCCATTCTCCTTCTCAAGCTATCGCAAGTTCAGCATACACCGAAGATACCCCAAAAGATGCCACATCGCCAATTGGCTGCCAATTCCGTAAGAAAGAGCCAAGCATGGAGAGGTCAGCGATGCCACCTGGACCTTGGAGCAGCTTGATTGGTACATCAACGAGGCCTGCAAACACTGGCATCTCCCCATGTTCGTCGGGGCATTTCCTTGCCCTGCCTAGGTGTCAAATGGTAAGGAGATACAGCCATTGCTCAGCGGCTGCTACCAGGCGGGTGCTTGCCACATACAGTCCAAAAAAGCTGGCAGCAGCCAGTGTCTACATCTGCGCAGCTTCAACAGCCCTGTTCCCGACGTCTGGGGGCCTTGGAAGCCAGTCCAATATCACGCATAGTCCACCCCGAATCAGGTCCAAGGTCTGAAGGCCGAATGCAACACAACGGCTCTGGTATCCTGTCTCGGAAAGACCCACATGTCTGCATGAGCTCGGAGGCTAACTCGAAGCTGCAGCAGGTGCTGTACAAGGAGTTTTGGGTCTGGGCATGAGCACAGTAGTTGAACTTGCGGCATGGTACCAGAGACAGGCGCATCTTCCACGAAACCCACAAGTACCGCAGTAATATCAAGAATGATGCGAAGGAGCTCAACAACTTGCGGAATCAGCAGAGCCTTGATCCGACCAACCCTGCCGGAGCCAGTTGGCGAGATCAGGAGAAGCTTCGGGTTTGGGGGCTTGGTGTTCCAAGTAAGTCGGGTTTTGTCTTCTGGGGGCACGCAGTGTGACTTTTGAATTTTGCAGCCCAGAGAACGGCCTCAGTGTGCCGACATGTCTGCTTTCAATGCTCAGGCTCTGGCAAAGGGCCACCGCCTGGCCCACCAGGGGCGCGAGCCCTGTCTGAAAAGGATGGCCACGACTTGCAAAAGGGAGAGGAAAACTCTGGAAACTGCGCCCTTGCTTGTCTGGCAAAAAAAAAAACCGCCTTGGGTTGCAGGCTTTGGCCCAAAAATTGGCTGGTGGATATTCCATCCAAAGTCCAAGATGGGCTGGCGCTAGGATGGGCGAGTTCGAGAGGCCCCACAACTGAGGCCAAAAGAAGCCGCTCCCCCGAAACGTCCCAATATCTAACCCTAAACCCGAAACCCGAAACCGGAAACCCAAACTCTTCGCACCTCTCCTTGCAAAAACGAAGGCGCTGACTGGGTTCTCGGGCGCCTCCCAGCTGCTGGATCCCAAGGCCGCCATTCTGGAAGACCTGGAGGCCTCACCGAGGGCAAAAGGGTTTAGGGTTTAGGGTTTAGGTTTTAGGGTTTAGGGTTTGAGGGTTTAGGGTGGTCACTTCTTGCAGGGGTAACATCGTAGCTTTCATGAGCTTTTGTGTGTATCGAGATCTGTTGAGACATCGATGTACGGTGGAAACCTCAACCGGTGAAGCGAACCTGCCCTCTGGTACAGGATCGTCGGCTGGCGCTGCTGCAGAGGTTGCAGGAGCTGTGTCGCCCGGCTGGCGAATGGCTTTCATGCCAGGGTGAAAATGGAGCAAGCAGAGGCATTGATACCCCCATCAAAGCACATGTGTACAGTTTTCTTCATGGAATGGCTGGACAAGTACCTCAATTGTGGCGACGCGGAAGCGGAAGCATGTGTGTACTTTTGTGTGTAGCACATGAAGAAGGAAAGAGCTCACATACTTAAGTCTGTGCAAGAAAGAATGGCACCAGTTTCCGATCTTCTTGAGACGCAGGCAAGAAAGACGAGATGCTTGCTTGCTGCCCTTCTTTGTGGCTCAGCGCATGGAAGCAGCACGCTTCTTCGGCCCCAATGGAAGCTGCAACACGGGTTGAATGCAAGGGTAGAGGATTGTGAGGCTGCCACTCTTTTTCATCTCGTTTGGGCGTCTCTTTGCTCCGCTGGTCTTTGATGACTGATGCCCAGTGGCTATAGTCTCAAGCTGCACAGCGACATGGCCTGACTAGGCGCTGAGGGTTTCCGTGGATGGGTCCTTGAAAGGCCTTGCGTCGTTCGGTGGCACATTGAGTACGTAGTGCACGAGACTGTGGGATTGGGACTGAAACTCCTTAAGGAGAGCCGCTCTCCACAGAATCCGCGGACTCAGAGTTTCAAGGATCGGCCTCAGATTTGCTCGGAGGGCAGTCCCGAACGGGCAGAGAGTTTTCTTCTCCAACTCTGCATGATATAACAGTGAGTGCAGCGTTTGTCATTCGCATAGACTCTCCGAAGTTGGCGAATTCTGCGCGCCAGGATGGCTTCATGAGAAGTTTGCAGGCATGTGCTTCACTGCCATCAGAGAACCTGGACAAGGAGGTGTCGGAAGCTCAGCGCTAGTGATGCATCCCGTCAGGCCTCTTGATATTCCTTCCGTCTCCTCCTCTTCCACTGCTCTTCAATAGTCCTCTTCCACTGCTCTTGGCGCCTCTGAGGATCGCCAAGATGCCAGAGGCTGCTGCAGACTTGTGGGCTCGTTCGCGGGCTGATGCCGAGAGTGTGCTCAGGATCGCGGGTTGGGGCTGTGTTGTAATTAGGAACAAGGTGGGTGTTGGGTTCGGAGTTTCAATGACGTGCAGGCACTGCTGGCTTTGTGGAAACCCAAGCTGGAGAAAAACGAGAGCCTGGCACAGACCCGGAGAATAGCCAGCTCCCCCCGTTTCCAGGAATCCCTCGACGACTGCTTCTGAGTTCAACAAGCGGGCGCAAGAGCTTCAGCGAGCTCTCAAAGACATAGCCACCTAGATGATCGAATGGTCAGAATCAGTAAGGGAAAGAGATATGTACTTGTAGGCCAAGAAAAACCCCTACCGAGGCATCGCTCTTCCGGCACCACGTGGGGTTGACAGAGACGGATTTAAAGGCTTCACAGGTGGCAGAGAAGGTGGCGGAGAAAGTGGCGGAATTGGTTTTGGAAGGACTGGACAAGCTGATGCCGATCTGCCCGCATCACATCTACAACAAGAAGTGTGAGGCCAAAGAGCGGGGGGAGTGCACCTTGCCAAAATTGCCAGAGCAGCAAATTTTAGGCATTCTCGGCAATTCTTCAGTTCAATGAGATTGTTACTTTTGACATGTTTAGGTGTGGTCAAAGAACAATGCGCTCTAGTCGCTCTCAGGTACACTGCAGCACCCCGAAGTTCAGAAGATGCATGATGCGTGGGCGCTTCTGGGATGCAGGAGCAGTGGCTTGGCTCAGCTTTGCATAGCTCCACTGAGCTCAGCATGTGGGCACCATCGATGTTGGTGGGGCGATGGGCTTATCTCCCAGGCAGCAAAACCACAAACTTCCATGGGATTGGTCTGAACAGCTGGCTGGGCATCGTGAACGTTTGCCAAAGGACGGTTTCCTGACTGCAAAGCTAGCATGCCGGCATCTGTCTGGTTGTTCCGTTGCCGCCTTTAAGTGAGCCGAGATCAAGACGGGGCAGCCGTGCAAGCACAAATGCATATGGATGCATCCTGGAACGTACGAGCTGCAGAAGATGCAAGAGAAGCTTAAGCCTGGAGCTGAGTGACCTTCAAATCGCGGTTCACAGGGTGCCTTGTGAGATTCTTTGAGGAAGATCACCAAAAGCACGTACGTCAAGTTTGATTGGTCAAAGCTGGAGCACCTGGAAGCAGCGGCTCGGCTGGAAGTGAAGAAAGGCCGACACGGCTCCAAGGTGTTTTTTGGGGGGGGCAATTTTTCTGGGGTTGGCATGCAGTGCTGCACCACGCTGCACCAAGTCCTTGGCAGCCATTTTCCTCTCCCGTTGCAAACCTGCTCGCCTCTTGACCTTTTTGCTGACCCTGACCCTCTCAGGTGCTGCAGGTTCTGCTGGAGTCCTTGCCCAAAGGGGGAGCTGACCACAAGATGCCGAGTGGTTTCGGCTGCTGCTTCTTTAAGGACAGATGGTCATGATATGTTGGGAAGGCTGTTCCGGCTAGCCCCCCAAGTCCCCAAGTGCAGCTGCAAAGGACACCGACAAGATGTTCAATGTCACCCCGATGCACGCAGAGCTGCGAACCCCCGGTCTGATCATGTTGGTTTGTGGGAGCTTGGGGTTCAGAGAAGTGCTTCGTAAGGAGGAATGGCAAGGTGCTTCAAGGTGCCCAAAGCAAAATCTGTCAAGACACGCGGTGGCCCGTGGCCCCAACATTCCCGCAAGCAGGTTGGCAAAGCGGCCTTGCAGAAACGGTGGCATGATGCAGAAGTCTGGAGTGTAGGCTGTAGGCTGTTTTCTTGGGCATGGATGTGGGGCATGGTATGTAAGGACTGCCACATGGGCAGGGATTAGCTCATCGCACATGAATCTGTTGAAGTTTGCACGACGAAAGCTTCCACAGTTCCAGCCCCCGGAGCTAGAGTTCATATCCAATGGAGACATGTGCTCAAGATCAAAAGGTCACGTCGTGTCTCGACATGGCGACTTGGTTTTGGCAGGGAGGTGGCCAGTTCAATCCTTATGGGAATGCCACCAATGCCTACATCGAGCACGCGTATCAGAAATATCAAATTGGCGTGAATTCTGGGGTTCCGGTGACTTTGCCACAAGGTGCCTACTTCATCAGCTTCGGGCGAAGACTCGCCGGGTGCAACGCTGCCCAGATTCCACATGTGAGGGGCCTGAAAAGACCATAAATCCGGAGTAGGATGGCAAGGATCCCGCTGGCCCTGAAAAGATGAAGAGAAGAAGGGGCCACCTCCGCGCACGGACCCGGGCTCCTCTCCTCCCCTGCTCCAAGTCCCAATTCATGGCGCGCAGCTGGCAGCCCACATGGAACGTTGGAAGAGGAAGAACCCCGCTCGAGGCGTTTCTTTTGACATTTTCATGGCATTGTGTTCTCCATGGTGGACATGGGAAGGAGGTGGTAAACTCAACGCCTATGATGAACCGGTGAGCAGTTACATCGAAGAGGCATACCAGCAGTTCTTGGTTGGTGGAGCCTCTGGTGTGCAGATAGACCTGCGCCAGGGTTCCTACTTCATCAGCTTCGAGAACATGCGGCAGATGAGACTGGCCGGCAGGCTGAGGGTGCGTCGTGTGCACCGCGAGAACGGCGAAGACAATCACTGTTCTGAGAAGAGTGCTGAGGTGGCCCTCCAACCGGCCGTGAGTCCGCGGAAGGATGTGGAAGGGCCGGGGCGGACAGGCGAAGATACGGATCAGGAGGTATCTTCTCCTTTGGCTTCGCCGTCGCCGCAGTGTCAGAATCCTTGTGCCACATTCTCGCCAGACCAAGAAGTTGACCAAGTCTCGTGCCCCAAAGTTGTGTGGCTTGGGGATTTGTACAGCTATCATATGACCTGTAAGCAAGCAGCTGCAAGTATCCTGCGAAGTCAGACCTTTCTTCCATCCCGACGTGGCTTGCTGGGTCCCTTCATCTACTTCGCAGCTTCCTGTGAGGATTGTCAGGGAAAAGCTCGACAAGCCACCCTGGAAGGAGTGATTCTGAGGTCTTTGGTGTCGTGTGGACGATGTCTGCTTGTGGATGCTCCCTCTTCGAAACACACTCAGCGTATTCTAAGCATCAAATCATGGTCAGACATCACCAAAGAGAAGCTGAAGCAGTTGGGATGCACAAGTATCTATGCCACATCTCCTCTGGTGCGCAGAGATGAGTGGGCTGTTCCAAGCATGGGGCAGGTTTCAGAAGTTAGGATTGTGCAATACAGGAGGCTCACCGCAGACGGAATGACCACCTGGCCTTTTTGGAAATGGCCTGCCTGGGCTCACTCCGTTGCTGTAGCTGTAGGCACGGACGACGTTGCCATCGACCAAGCTTCCGCAGTGAAAGAAGTTATTTCCAGGTACGGTGTCCGAGTGGATGCTTCTGGTAGGCCAGTGGATCACGACGGCAATGCCCTGTCCTATGCGGAGGCACGACGCTGCGGATGGGGCCGGCGCCGTGGCCAAAAAACGCCCCGACAGTCAGAGAGGTCGGAGATCAGGCGCGCCTCAAGCTGGACAAGCCGCGAAGAGGGTCACGCTCGCACCAGTAGCTCCGGAAACCGAAGTTCTTTCGGAAACCGAAGTTCTTCCGGAAACCGAAGTGTTGGACGCTTGGGACACCAAGCTTCGACCGCATGGGATGTCTTGATGAAACTGCAGGCATTTATGAGTGACGTGAGACAAAGCAGAGAAGGCCGCGCGAAGCATCGTGCGTCAGGGCTATGCGGTAGAACAGCTCCTTGCATCTTGAAAAGTTAAGTTTGCGAGCCGTTGCTCGATATGTACATGCCAATTCCCAAGGCTTTGTGAAGCTGCAAAGCAGCTTGCAGGGTCAAAGTTGTTTAATGTTTTGGCATGTTTTTCGTGACAGTTGATGCACTGTTGTGGTTAACAGTAAACCTGCGCAATGTGCGTCGGCGTTGTAGGACGTTGACAAATCGCTGAAGCCTGGGTTGGGGCTTCCGTTGGGAGAAATTTAGCCGTCGTTTCACAAGAGATTCGGCTACCAAGTACCAAGATGCAATTGAATACATGCAAACTAGACGATGCTCCTACCAAACAATACCCGTCAACAACGTACGCAAGAATAAACATAATTTTCTCAATATATCTATCTTTTTTTTCGAGCCTATTTACGATCGAGAGACGGCTTCGAATCTATGAAATATTCGGATGTATGTACGCAGCAATTATATATATATATATATATATATGTGGTCAGCCCCCCCCCCCCCCCCCGGATCCACACCTATGGTTTTCTTGTCTTCGTCTTTGTCTGATTTTCTGCTTTTTCCTCGGAAAAATGCAGTCAAAACTGCACTGGAATACAAAAAGCTCTAGTATATTATCCTCTATACAAAACACTAGTGTTTTATGTGCATTTTGCTTCTGAAACTTGTGTCTTGCGGCCCCATAAAATTTTAGAAGGGTAGCAATTAGAAGTTTAAGGCTTTTCAGGGTTTTAGGGGTTTGTAAAATTTAGATGATCTGTGGAAGGCACCGGGGCTTCCCCAGACCATTTGCAATTGTAAAAATCCTTTAAAGGGGCAGCCCTTTTCAAATTTGAAGTGTTTTAAGGTACTTAAAGCCTTTCAAAAGTTTCAAGATTTAAAGGATCTTAAAAGGCTTTAAAGCCTTAAAAGCCTCGAAACGTTTATCCCTTAAACGTCTAAAATTCCTTAAAATTAAAAACGGGCAGCCGTTGAAAATTAAGGAAGTTACGGATTTTAGACTCGAACATCCTAAAAACTTTAAACTTCAAAAGGACAGCCATTTACAACTGCAAGAATTACAGGGTTTTACGGATTTGTAAGAGTTTTTATGGTCTGGGGAAGGCACTGGGGCTTCTCATTGGCAACTTCAAAAATCTCCAAAATCCGCAAAGGGCAGCCACTTAAATACGTAAGCAATCTAAGGTCGTTAATAGGCTTAAAAGTCTTAAAACCTTCATAATCCTGAGAAGGTTTAAACAGAAGCTTAAAGATTTTTATAAGATTTTAAGGATTTTCAAAGTTTAGATGGTCTGGGGAAGCCCCAGTGCCTTCCCCAGATCATGTAAACTTGCAAAAACCCATCAGAGTTTAGGGTTTTTTTGGGGTTTTAGCCGAGCCGCTTGACCCTAAACCCTAAACCCTAAACTTAACACTCAACCCTAAACACAAAACACTCAACCCTGAAACCTACACACTAAACCCTAAACACTAGATTTCCAGAAAAAATCTCGAGTACCCGGGCCCCGGACTCCAGACTCCAGATTTCCAGAAAAAATCTGGAGTACCCGGGCCCCGGACTTCAGACTCCAGATTTCCAGAAAAAATCTGGAGTACCGGGGCCCCGGACTCCAGACTCCAGATTTCCAGAAAAAATCTGGAGTACCCGGGGCCCCGGACTCCAGACTCCAGATTTCCAGAAAAATTCTGGAGTACCGGGGCCCTGGACTCCAGACTCCAGATTTCCAGAAAAATATCTGGAGTACCCGGGGCCCCGGACTCCAGACTCCAGATTTCCAGAAAAAATCTGGAGTACCCGCGGCCCCAGACTCCAGATTACAGACTCCAGAATCTGGAGTCCCGGGTCCCGGTACTCGGAGTCCCCCCCCTCCCAAAACCCCCTTCCCGAGGCCAAATGTGTGGATCATGGGGGGGGGGGGGGGGGGTTTATATATATATATATACATATCAATATATTTATCAATTTTTTCGAGCCTCTTTAAGATCGAGAGACGGCTTCGAATCTATGTAGAGATAATCATTTGATAGACCACTTCGTAAGAATCGGATGAAAGGCCACGGATTTTGATTTCAAAACCTAGATTCTATCTTGTCGTACTAGAAAAATCCGACTCCGGGCCACAGCGCCCCCAACAAAGTTACTGTTGTTAACTGTGCTACCGGCCCTTCCCCGGTGAAACAGGATACCCTTGAGGCCCTTGCGTCTCCTGGAGACCTGTTGTAATAATGCACCGCTTGAGAGAAAGCAAACATCCGCAGTAGCACACGGGAGACGGAGCCCCCGACCCGAAGCCCTGTTCATGCAAGCTGGACGGCCGAGGTTCGCCTTGTGACAATTCTGGCATCCGCCTTCTTGAACAAGCGTCGCTCGACAGCATCCCATCCATACCAGTAACAAGCGCAGAGAGGTCCTGAGGGAGTTTGCAAGGTTTTGTGTTGGGGGCTGCTTGTGACGGGACAACACGACGACTTAACGAACTGATCGCGGAAGGTGCTAAGGAAGGTCAGGAAGGTCGCTATGGGCGAAACTCAGATGGGCAGATCCGGTGTCCTTGTCGCTTTGCTGTGTGCAACGCGTGGTTCTGGAGCTGGTGTCGCGCTGGTCGAAGCTAAGCGGACTTCACCTGATCTTGAATCCTCAAGGGCATCATGGCCCAAAACCCTGGCTTGAGGGAAATTTCAAACGGGTTGTTGGGGGGGGAGGGGGGGGTTTGGCCAAACCTCCCACTTGAAGCCCAAATAAGGCTGCTGTGATCTGGGCCTGGACGCTTCCACGGAAGCCGCAGAGCTGCAGGGCACTGCAGGTTTTACGGTTAAACGGTTTGGCTCATTGGTTCTTGGGGTTCTTGGGCTGGATCTAACTGGTACTGTTACTCAGCTTCTCGTACCTCGACTTTCCCACTGCCTTCATATGTTGAACAGCTACGCACACTTGTCTACATGATGTTTTCTGCTCGGGCCCTCGAGTTTCCTGAGTCAGCTGACTGTGCTGGTGGACACCGGGAATTTGATGGTTAGGATGGTACGCTGGCATGTGCCGTTGCTCTGAGAAGCGTACCTGCACATCTCAGGTGCTCCTGCGCATGTGCCGCAGTCTATACCACTACCCTGACGTAGAGGCATTCTGCGGCGTTCTGGCACGTGTTGTCTGTGCAGCTTCGACTGTCATCTTGAGCGGCATTGAGCGTTGCCTGGACTGGATGCAGCAACTTGCGCTTGTGTGGCATGTTGTCATATGTTGCAATATGTTCCAGCGGGTCGGACACCTCCACCCAGCTGGCCTCGCCAAGTTTGCACACCGAACCACCCTGTTGCGACTCGTGTCATTGGCCCTCTTGTGTTCGGACAAGTTTGGCCTTTGTTCGGGCTCAGGGCTTTGAATCGCCAGTAAGAAAAAGCATGCAGAGGCCGCTGAGCTAGCAAAGGCCACCCTGGGACAAGTGCGCCCCTCGGCCTGATATTTTCAGAATTTCACGTGTTTCGTCATGGTCATATCATGTGGTTCCTCATGCGGCGTTGCCGTCACGAAGAAATTTACAAGGCCAGTGACGCATGATATACAGTTAGGCCCTTTTTGGGCCTTTTGCCAGCTTCGTACGCATGCTTTTGTGTCAGAGGGCTGTTGCGGGTGCACTGTTGTTTCTTTCGGTAGTGTGCTCAACGTAGCTTGTGCTCAACGTAGCTTGTGCTCAACGAGGCTTAGCTCCTTCGGAGAGCCAAACCTTAACTTATGAGAAGGCCCCAACCTCTGAACTGAGCTGTGTCTTGCCCGTGCATATCGAGTTCTGAGGACAGATCGAGAAGCTGTCGAGGCAAATCAGCTGGGAGGTGGAAGGCCGGGCTGCCAATGCTGAGTTGCCACGTGGCCTAGGCTTGATGGTGGAAACAGTCCAGGAACTCTGGCCGAAGCTTTGTGGTAGGAATTTGTTCAGCAGAGGCCAAGGGAGGTTCCAAATCGCATGCTCCTTCCATGACCCCCTGGTCGCAAGCGTCACACGAATGAACAGCTTATTGAGTTATGTGAAGGCTGTCAGGAGAAGCCGAACGAGCGGTGCCTTCTTTCAAGTCTGTTGGGACGCTTGGCGTTTGTTTGCTCGATTCGATTGGTTCGTGCTACCGCCTGCTCGCGATATTTGGGCTGGAACTCATGACAGGTTGTCTGTTGCGTGTACCGAAGTCAGATACAAAGAAGCAAAGTGAAGAACAGTGCGCCCCCCTTCTCGTTTTAGCTGGACCACGGCTCATGTTGTGATCTGAAACACCTTTTTCTTCATCACTCTCAACCACAGCGAGCTCGAAACCTCGCGGATGTTCAGGTTTTGGACCCGCACAGCATTCGGTAAGGCATAAATGGTAGTCGTGCACTTTGGACTGTGAAGCCCCAAAAAACGCTCGACTTTGTCCGCCCGCCCGAAACCCCACTAGTGGATCCAGACCTTGACACCGTCTAACCCTTCAAACTCACCAACAGCTGCGGTCCCGGTTTCTGCAAGGCCTCCAGATCCCAAAAACGATCAGCGTAATTACGCAATTCGCACCCTGAAATTGGCCTCCCAGAACCCCAAGCTCGATCAGTGCAAGCAACCTGCACTCAATTTGGCCATCAGTTTTACCAGCCTGCGTCCACACACCAATTGCGGCGTCCATGGGTCATCTTTTGCCGTAGTGTGGCGCGGTGCAGTGTTGGCACGCTGTCACTCTCTGACAGACACTCAAAGTTGGTCCGAAAGTCGATAGTTTCGCGTTTCTTGGGGGGGGGAGGGGGTCACCGTTGAACGTTTCACAGCAAGGGGGGTCTCAACTCCGTCAAAACTATAACGGGGAGTGCTACCCTGTTGAAGATACGTGGCTGAGGACGTGATCAGCCTTGGGCTTCCCAAGACAAGCACCAAGGAGGGAGCTCCCAGATGCTTGGTCTGCTACCAGAAACGGACTGTACAACTGGAAATTTGTTGCTGTTAGAGGTTTCCCAACCTGCCAAGCCCTCAGCCCCCGGTTCATCTGGAGGTTGCGTTTCCGACAGCTTAGGATGCGGTCGGATGCGCCTGTGTTTCTTGTCTTCAGCTAGAAACGTTGTCAATAGCAGCTGCACCTGAGACCCAAAGGCTGCCGCCAAGAATGTGAACATGCTACTGTATTTCATTGTGTTTCTGCAAATGCAGGCGGTGTCACTCGCTCCAAATCGATCTGCACTTTTCCTTCACCTGCATCTGTCAACTGCGTACCATAGGCATACAAAGGGGCCCCCTAGGTTCGAGCCGCCGTGCAGCGGAAATCACATGAGGCTTTCAGGAAGGGCTATACATCTGGACTTTCACAGCCCGGTCAAATCTCTTTCCTGAAAGACTATCGGCGGTTGTAACCTAGTTGCTTCCGCTCTTCGAGCTTCTCTTCCAGGGCTTCGGCTTCACTCACAATCTGATATTCGCCCGTCATCAGGAGGTCATACAACGCCGCCATGTTCGCATTCTTCTTCGTCAGCCCATCCACAATCATGTGAGGGTGAGGTACCCATCGAACACGGCCCTTGATCGCATTCATATTCTGTCTCACCACTTGAATCTCCAAGCATGTCCTCTTGTCCTGTGAGGGTCCGGTGCTTTCACGAGACAAATGATCGTACAGAGCCTTCGCGTCAATGATGCAGAGGCTCTCCTTCAGCTCCTTCTCTGTCTGGCTTTTGGCGATTGCCACGATCTTGTTCTGCTGAAGATGCTCTTCCCACTTCGCCAGCTCAAATTCCGGGTCGGTCAACTCATTGAAGATGGAGACAATCCAACAAAGCTCACCTAGCCCCTTTGACAAGGCTTGCGTCTCGGCTGCCAGCGTTGAGTTCACCACTTTGTGAATTCTTCCACTTCGCCACGAAACCAGTGAGCAAGGCACTCTTCGCCCTCGTTGTAAGTCTTCATGAAAGGCGATGACACCATAGGCACCCTGACTGTTGCCCCCATAGGCGTTTGCGAAGCTAGCATCCGAAACCACTCCCCATGCCAAATTCTCGAAGGGAATCGCCCTGATCTTGATCGCCAGTGTTGGATTCGTCTTGATCAGGTGCACCGCTTTGTTGACGTCAATCAAGTCCTGGATCACCGGCTTGGGAAAGGTTGCCGCCCCTAGACTGGCAGCAGCTGCCGCATCTGGCCGCCCCTCTTTGGCCGCCCAGTTCAGAGCACCAATCACTGCTCTCATTTGCGCAATCTCGCTGTCGTTCGCCAGGGCTTTGGGATCAGCCTTTCTTCCCTTGGCCATGCTGATTGGCTCCAATCGTTCGCCGATGAATTTCTCCATGTCAACCTCAAAGTCGAAGTTTTCCAGTTGCTTCACGCGCCTTCCGTTGAAACCAACACCTTGTTCAGCCTCTTGAACCATGACAAACTTCCCGAACCGAAATCGTTCACGGAGCTCCGCGATCTTCCTGTAGTGCTCCTCATCACCGAAGGTAAACAGATCGTCCACCTCCACAGCGATGGCTCCACGTAGTGTCTGCTTCCCTGGGAGAAAGTAGACCGTTGGATCCAGCACCGATTCTCGGTATCCAAGAGCCAATATCGCCTCCTTTAGAGTTCGCCTCCAATGGATTGGCGCATCGCCAAGTCCATAGCATCCAGCAACAATCTCCACAAGCTGCTCGTCGTGTAGACCCTCGATCCCTGATTTTGGAAGACTAGCGTACAGCTTCCCTTGCTTCCTCACGAGTGGTAAAGACTGGCAGAAAGCGTTCTTCAAGTCGCCCACACTCGCCTGATACTTGAGGGATGCTGCAACCTGGAGAAGCACTCCGAAGCTGGTGCTATTGAGCGTTGGTGCGTAACGATCTAGCTCCATAAGATCTGGATCTCGGTCTCCGCGAATGCACCATCTCGATTTCATCTGAGGAGGCTCGCCTGGTTGCTCGGCTGGCTTCCACCGTCGAACCATTCTGCTGGGTATAATCCTCTGCTCCTGGCCTCGGGCTCTGAGATCTGCTCGAACTGCCCTTGATTCCTCAAGACTGAGAACTTTGATGGCGTCAGTGCTTGCCACCTTACACCATTCTTGAAGATCTGATTCGCGCCAAGCGGGCCATTCATGTGGCTTGATCTCGTGCTCGAACACCTCGCCCTGACCTCGAGTCTTGGTGGCCATGTAGTCGTGAATGTTCACTTCAGTCGAACTGAAAACAGTGAACCCAACCCAGCTCTTCTTCATATCGTTAACCTTCTTTCTTTGCTTGAACCAGTTGTCATTGTAGGTATCCACCGTGCCATCCTCCATCACCATGTAGGTTTGACGATGTTTCAGTCTTCTTGGCATCAGAGCTCCTCGAATCTTCGTTGGGTTACATAGTCGCCTGCGCGGCTCGTAATGTCTCCTCACCACAACATTGCGACTCACGTCCTCCCAGCAGTCTAGATCAACTTTCCATCGACCATCTTCTGCATAGAACCATGCCTGCGATGAAGAGCTTGATTCTTGCTTGGCATAGTACGGAGAACTGGGAGGCCTTTTGCTCATCAGTCTGCGAGTGGCTTCATAGGGTGCACTTCCCGGTGGATGTCCATCCATTTGTTGATTCCGTAGCACAGTCTGCACTGTCTCTGGAGAAAGTTCTTGTACACCACTTGACATCTGTCGACTGGGCGCAGGCTCTGGCTCTTCCTCTGAAGACTGCTGCCTGACATTGGTGGATGTTGGTGGATGTCCCACTTGAGGTACTGGAATTTGTTCTTGAACACTTTCATCGATCGATGGTTCATATTGCGCCAGCTCTTCCTCATCGTAAGGTCCTTCTGGCACTGGTACATCTTCTGGAAGTAGTCGCGGTCGTTGATGTGCCCTTTCTTCGGGATGCCAGTCCATTCCTCCTCGAAGTTCCACAGCCTCCTCTTCTTCATCGGGAGGACCTGGTTCCTCCGTCATGTCCTTGTAAGTTCGCTTTTGGCTGGACCGCCCCAACTCCTCACGCAGAACCTCCAGCTCACCGGCCAGTAGCTCTTTTGCAAGCTGTTCTTCACTGGTAGCATGTCGACAATGCTCACAACTCACTTTCCAGAGCTCTCCCTTCATAGATACCCACAAGCTCGGCTGCTCAATCGCCAAAACCACTCCAGGACCCACCCATGATGGCTTCCGACCCTCATGGGACTCCTCGGTCATCATATGCCTCCTCTTCCGCTCCTTTGGCTGTCGGTAGACGTACACGGTCTCGCCAACCACGAACGTAGGAGGAATGCGGCTTCGGGCATTCCTTGCTCGAGTGAGAGCAAGTTGTGTCTGAGATTTGATGTAAGCCTCTTGTGCCGCTTGACGCAGCTCCAAGACTCGTCGCATCTCATCTCCAGCACTCTGCACCACCAGTCTAGGATCTGTCGATCATCCGACAGGAGAGATCCTGGAAGTCGAAGATTATGCCCGATCTGCCGTTGTGTGGGAGAAAACCCGCTCCGATTCCCGTACCTGTTCTTGGCATTCTCCACCTCGTAGAGCAGGGTCTTCAACTCTTCCCACGTGCTAATCTGGGTGGTCTCCCTCGCTTTCTCATACACATGCTTGTAGTGAGCTCCAGCTCTCTCTGTCTTCCCAGCCTGCCAGGGAGATCTGGCTGCAGTGTGACGAATCAAGGCGCCTGCTTGAGCTGCCATCTCCGCGAATTGACCTCGAAATTCGGTTCCCAGGTCAGCTATGATGATCTCAGGAACGCCAAACACTCTGCCCCAAACTCGCAGGAAGGTTCTCCAGGCGTGGTCGGACTCGGTGTTCTTGAGCCTTTCCACCATCTGGTAACCGGTTCCCCAGTCCACCATGTTCAAGGCCGGAAATGTCTCTCTCTTGTCCAGTGCGCTCAGGAACACCACGTCAACTCCCACCACCTTGCCTGGTTCGTAGCTTTTGGGCAACACAGCAGGTCGTGCTGGCTTGGGCTTTGGCCTTGCTTTGCACACATCGCACTCGAACTTTGTCGCCACATAACGGACCACATGCGGTTTGGCGTTTGCCAAACGCAAAGATCTCGCCATCTCCTTACCTGCTGGATGACCCATATTCTCGTGCAGCTTCTTGATTAGCCGTTTTTCTTCTGCGGTAGGCTCCAGTGCATCATCAACCGGCTGTTGCCGCTCATCCAACTCATCCTCCTCCTGCACATAGACCTTCCCGCACTTTCCGGAACATCTTGGTACAGGAAACCCCGTTTCGTGAAGTTGTTGAGCAACGTCGCGTTCCATTGCATCAACTCCTCTGGCCGTAAAGGCTGTAGCCACATAGCGGCTTCCAGACCATGAACGGGACTCGTGCCACCTCTTTGGGTCAAAGGAGAGGACCCGGTGCTTGATGTTGTGGAGCTTCCCGGCCTGCCTCTTCCCATTCGGCAAGTTCCGAAAAACGGCACGTGATTCCGGAACTTCATCGTCCTGAATCCATATCTCTCCTCTGCGATACGATCCTGCACCGATCACATAGTTTTGGGACTCCTTCTTGTTGTGTAGATCACGATGAAGACTGCTGCCTGCGTTCAGCCCCAAAGATATGGTAGTCCAAGTAGGTTTTGAGATTCCTTGGATCTTACACTGAAACTTCATCAGGTTGTTGAGGTACATGGCACAGTTAGGCAGCGACTTCGTCCGGTTCGTGACTCCATGACGGTTGCCGTGTGAGTACATGCCGAAAATCAAATAACTTCCAGCTATGGTTGTGGACCTTGCCCCAGCTCGCGTAGAAGGCATCCTCTCCACGAACTTTTCAAACGACACCAGTGAGTAGTCACGTTCTCGAATCAGACGACGCGCCATGCCTTCCAGGTAGCCAACATCTGCCTCGCTCAGGTATGAATGACTGGCCTCCTGGTTCTGAGAAATGCTACTGTCGTCGCAATGGTGTGCCTCCTGGTTCTGAGAAATGCTATCGTCGTCATGGTGGTGTGCCTCCTGGTTCTGAGAAATGCTATTGTCGTCATGGTGGTGTGCCTCCTGGTTCTGAGAAATGCTATCGTCGTCATGGTGGTGTGCCTTCTGGTAAGCGACAAGGTTCTCGGAGACGTGTGTCAGCTTTGCTTCATGATCAGCATCGCTGCCCATCTCATTGCTCACCGCACACATCAGCCCAGGGTGGTTTCCAGTGAGCATCCGCTGGCAGTCTAGAACCTGCTGAACTCGCCGTCCAGTCATACCATCGCAGCTTGTTCCAGCCTCCACATAGGCCGCATCACACTCGGAATGCAGCATCACGAAGGCCTTGCCCGTTGCATCCTGCCACGCTGCGAGGTCCAAGGCTGCCTCCAGGTCTTCACCAGAAGCACACTCCGCCTCAATCACCATGTACTCGGGTTGTCGAACCGCCATCCGACTCCAAAAACTTGCACTCGCTAATTCTTCCACTCCCAACCATTCAACGCTACGCCAATCCTTTGTCTCCGTGAACTCTGAGGCTTGGACGAACTTCCCAATGGCATTCTGCATTCGCTTCTTCTCGCCGGCAGTGAGTGCCTTCGTTTTTCCGAACTCCTCGCTCCAGGCCACAAGAGCCGCTTCATCTTCGAACACCGCGAGGACCTTCTCGTCTTCCTGTAAGCTGCGCGGCAACCATCCGTTTCGTTCATCCCACTTAGCTCCATCATCATCCCACACATAGTAGCTCTTGGAGATTGGCATGCTCCATGGTGCATAGGAGTGTTGAGAGCCAAATGCCCTCATCTGCAGGCTTCTTGCTGTCTTCAATTGCGCAGCGGTTTGGATCAGGCAAGCCTGCTGAGGCCCAATCCCAACTGGTAGCCAGTCTTCTAGCTTGAGTGGTCGACCATCTGGAAGCCCTCCATCTGACTCGCTTGGAGCTGACTCATGAAGCTCTGAAACCAAGCGACCTGCTCGTGCAGCATTCGTGTTTCGGCCTGATGCTGCTGAGCCTGAGCTTCCATCTGAGCCTGGAACTTGCTCTCCATCTGCAGCATGTGCTCCTTCATCTGTTCCCGGCTCGCTTCCACATGCTTCTCTGCTTGACCTTGGATCTTTACAATCTCCTCGTTGAGCACCTCCAAGTCGTCCAACTCCATTGCCTGCTGATCCTTCTTTTCCATCTGCTCCTTGATGTCCCAAAGGAAGAACTCGCACACTCTCTTCTCGCATCGATAGAAGTGTCGGCCCTTCGTTGGACCCTCTTTCTTCACCTGCCAGCTTCGCGCCGGCTTGCCACACTGACACGTGATGATCTTCATCTGCTCGCTGCTCGATGTGGCACATGCGCGATCCTTCTCTTCCTTCTTCCGGGCCAGTTGTGTCGGATTGAGGTACTCCCAGCGGCCCTTGCACTTGTTGCAGTAGATCTCCTTCTGGTGCTGGTTCCCCGCGCCCTTCAACTCCTGCGCCGGGTGGTTGCAAGCTTCGATGGCAACTTGCGGTTTGTCCTTCGTCTGACGTGTTCCAAGGAAGTTGGCATAGCGGATCACCTCGCCATACTCCAGCTGTTTGTCCTTTGCAGGAGCTGCAATTGAACTCGCTTGGGTAGAAGGACATGGGACCTGTGAAGGATCCCCCAGCCCCAAGAGCCGCGAAGAGGAACTTGGCAGCCAGTCCAGCACCTTTGCGCGAAGGTCTACCAGGATCATCAGATCGAACACCTTCTCGCCCACCACTCGCCAACGTCTTACAGCTCTTCGGCTTCTCGTCACTGCCGCTGGTCTTCCACGGGGAGCTCCATCTCGCTCTCTCTGCTCGAGCATGCGCTGCAGCATCAACGATGCCATGAGTCTCGGCGGGCTTCGAATTTCCAATCACTGTTTGCTTGAGTGAAATCATGCTGTGGGTCGCAAACACGAACTGCTCATGCTGTGCTTTGCCTCTGGCTCCATCAGGCAACTTCCAACCATCTGGTGAAAAGGCTGTCACATCAACCGACATGTGCCCAGACGGAAGTGCATGCATAGGCGCCTCCACACCGTACTCTCGAATGTCCAAGATGTCGCGATCCAGGTCGATGACTGCCCTGAGTTGTTTCAGCAGCTTGATGGGCAGGAGTAAGGGAACATTATCAGTCACGACTGTCAACCGTGCTTGCGAAGCGACTCTGCAAGTCTTAACAGTGCTGCTTTGCCGATCAAACCATCCTGGGCCGCAGTGTCCACGACTCCCTCGTGGGCACCTGTCACAACACCGACAAAGACAGGGGCGGGCTCATACTCAAGCTGGTGCTCAGTCTGCTCGGACTTATCTCTCATCACAGCACGAAGGACGCTTCCAAAGGTGGGAACAAACGACATGAAGACGCTGGACGGACTGTTTTCCTTCGAGTTCTGCACGAAATAGCCCCGGGCCGAGCCAACGCCGTTTGGCGACTCAGCTTGCACAAAGAACCCCGACCTCGTGGAGGTAGACGAAGAAGATGCTGCCGAAGCCCTTTGGGCTGCAGCAACGCGTCCCCTTTCATCTGGAGGATTCCTACACTCCTTGGCCCAATGTCCCAGCGCCCCACACCTCGCACACCGCGTCCTCAGCTTCAGCATGTCCACATGAACCTTCGTGCTGCCATCTCGGCTGAACTTCACGTAGTCGCGGTTCTTGAAGCCCAAGGTGACACGGCCTTTTCCTTTCCCTTTGCCCTTGCCTTTGAAGCCTCCACTTCCTTTGCCGCTTGACGGATTGCGGCCTGCAGGATAGTAGCCCCGGCTGTTCTTCTGTTCCCGCAAGGAACGTCGCACATCTTGATACGTAGCCAGAGCTTCCTGGATGTCGCTCTCTTCGAAGGTGTCTTGCATCTCGCCTTCACCGATGTAGACGTAGTCCTCATCGAAGTCAGACTCGTCATCCTCGAAGCTCGGACCTTCCACATAGGTCTCCTGGACGCCCTCGTCATATTCCGAATCGACCTCGGTGTCGAGCAGATAGTGGCTTCCTTTCTTTTTAGAGTCGTGCACTCCTTTGTCCAGGCGGCGAAGATTCCGAACTACCACAGCTCGGTCGAACTTCCCTTCGCCCCATGTCAGCATCTGGCTTTCTTGGACATCGTTCAAGTTGGCGTGCCGAAACATAACATATCCAATCACCATGTCATGTAGCTTCACCCCCTGACGCTCCAGCTCCTTGAACGCATACTCCATGCGAATCACGAACTCGCCGAAGGTCTCCTTGGATCCTCTGATGTCGCCGTAGATCGCCTCCTCGAAAGCTTTGGGCAACGACGTCTCCAGGTGGGGCTTGAAGTGCTCCTCGAGCGCGGCCAACAAGTTGTCGAGTCCTTTCTCACAGGCGATTTCCTCGAAGGACAAGTTGTCGGCTGTAGATCGAGCCGCGCCCGACAACTGTCTGAGCACCTTCACGCCTCTCTTGTTCTTTGGGATTTCTGTTTCAAATTCCCAAAGCTTTAACTCCTTCAACCATCGAGGGAAAGAGCGGGAAGGATCCCGACCGTCGAACGATGGCGGAGGTTCCCTATCCCTCCACGAGCCGGAGGGTCCGGCACCTTCAGAAGCAGCCATCTCAGCTGCACCACCAGCCGAAGCTTCAGCAAGGCTCTTGCCGCCCTGGGCCGGAGATTTGCCCTTCTCCTGACCTTTGCCACCCATACACGGGATGGCCCACCTGGAGCTTCTCAAAGGGCTCCGCTACCACCTGCAAATGCAGGCGGTGTCACTCGCTCCAAATCGATCTGCACTTTTCCTTCACCTGCATCTGTCAACTGCGTACCATAGGCATACAAAGGGGCCCCCTAGGTTCGAGCCGCCGTGCAGCGGAAATCACATGAGGCTTTCAGGAAGGGCTATACATCTGGACTTTCACAGTTTCTCTGGGATCCTATGCCAGGGTCTGTGGGAATTACATAAGGCGGTATCGGTGCGCTGTCCTTTTGCTTTTTCTTGAGGTGTTCCTAGTCTTGAATCCGTTCAGTGTGAGACTCCGACAGGTTCGTCCAGGGTCAGCGAGCCTGGATTGGCAATGCCGCACGCGATCTCAAGTGGACGCTCAGTGAGGTTGAGTCAGCTTGTTTGAGGCCTCCTATTGCCACTTCACCCCTCTTATAGACACCGTCCATGGTACAATGGCACATGGATCTCAGCCGTGAGCCTATCCGGAGGACTCCGACGGCCCGACTGGCGTCCGAAGCCACCAATGCGGCGCAGACGCGTTCAGGAGGACGCTGTTATTATAGCGATCAGGCCATGGCTGCATTGAAGGCTTCCCTCAGGGCAGTTGATTCAAGGTTTCTTCAACGAAGATTTGACGTGCAGCCTCCGCAGAGAAGTAATTACAAGCCTGAGCGGCGAAGCTCCAGCATCACACTTCCCTTCGCGCGCAGGTGCATGTAGGGTAGCCTGGTAGCTTGGGCATGGGCCAACCCCCGCAATTCACAAGTTGCCCTGAGAGCGTCGAGCACGAGCATCGAGACATGAGCCAGCAAGCAACCTTGACAAGCATCCCAGGACCAATTGGAGCCGATCCTGCAACATCCTGGTATCCCTCAGTGAATGGGGGGCAGGCAAGCGGAAGCTGGGGGCGGCGATGAGGAGCTGATCGGTTTGCTGTGGCATGCCTGCACATGCCAGGGCGCATGCTATGGGACGATGGTTGTAACTGTTTCAAAAGTTAGATTTGTAGGGCGTGTTTCGTTTATGGCCGGCCGCTGTGCGCGGTACGGCTGAACGCGAAGACACGAGGTTCGCGCCGTGGTGCTAAAATGCTTGCAGATAAAACCTGCGATCAGGCTGCACACCTGCAAGATTTTACATCCTTCCGCGCGTGAGCCTGATAAGTGGGCTTCACAGACAAGCAGCTGTTGGCTCAAGCCGTTTGACTGCAGGCTCACATTGTTCTTGTCCCGGGCGGGCCAAAGCCATTGCTGGCCGCTGATCCTGCGCAGTTTGCTGTGATTCGTCTGTAGTTGCAGTTTGTATGGCGGTGTTGCTGCAAGGGTTGCACAGTTCGTCGTCATAGCGCAGTACGGCTGACCCCGTCGGCACAAGCATGTGACATCTATAACAAGGCCTGTGGTTGGCGACACGAACCCTACATATTAGAGGATCAATCCAGAGATCTGCCCAAGGCCCATGCAGTTCTTCCGCCTCGTTTTGCTGTTGGCTGCTGCCACTGCCAGCAAGCACCGCAATAGACATGACAAGTGCGAAGAAGGCCGGGCCCTTAACAGTTCAAGCCCTCGCCCGATTTTGAAAAGAAGCCCCACAACTGCAAAGTTCGGCACAACGCAAACCCACAAATTTCAGGAAGCCATCAACATATCCTGAACTCCGATCAGCATCCATTTCGCTTGGCAGAATCCCCCAAACTTGAAATTCCGCAATCAGAAGCTGTCCTCAGGTTGAAAATGCTCCGACGCCCGAAGTAGCACAGAATCTGCACAGACCGTCTATAAGCTCACAAGCGCAATTGAGAAACAGCTAAGCAGCTAACCTGCAGGCAGCCCAAGCTGCGTGCGTTCTTCGGGGCCCACGTTCCTGCAGTACAAACGTCGAGCCTCGTCCAAGCAGTGGCTTTGCAGGGGCTGCCACGTGGTGCCCCATGGTGCTACTCATGGTCAGTATGGGTTTCGGTGCTGTGCTGTTCGGCTCGTTGCGGATGGGACTTTAGTGCGGGCCTGTTTTGAAAGTTTGCTGTTGTTTTGCATTTGGTCTTCGTCGCAGATCGCATCATTTAGGGCGTCAGCGTCTCGGGTCCTGAAGGGGAAATGTTCTGAGTCCGGACTGGAATGTCTACGTGGATGTGCACGCTACGCCTGCTACCGCATGGTCTCACGCTATCGACGATGCCCAGCTGCCAACACAATCTTACAGACATTCTCCCCTAGCTGTGGGACTGAGCATGCTTGGGTTATAAGTTCAGTTCAGTTGTTTGTTTCTTTTCGCTTTCTCCGTCTGTGGGTCTAACCTGGGAGCCGGTATGGCAGCTCAGGAGTGCACACTCTCGCCAAGTCCTCCCGCTGTCAAGGGGACGACCTCACTCTCTGCAAGCCAGAGGTAGAGGCCGCGGGGCAAAGGACCTGGTAGGCCCGATGATGTATACGTACAGTGTTCGCAATTTGACCTGGGATTTTTGCCTTGTCTGGGTGAGTCTGAAGCATATCTAAGCTTTTCAGTCATGACATGGTGTCATGTTTGGCTACATGAAGTCAAGGGACTTTGGGTCCAAGCAAGAAGCCTAGAAAGAGCCGGTGCAAACTCTAATTGAGAATCCCTGTTTATCTGTCCGAGTCCTGCGCGCCCTTCGCGGAATGGCCAGATGTGGACGGCGGTGTCACTTGCGGAGGCTGTCGAGCGCTCGTGCACCTCGCTTGCTTAAGTGTATTCAGAGTTTATAGGGATCGTGCACCTCGCCTGTCAGAGAAAAGGCCTGGACGTAGGCCGTACCGATGGTGCCGAGATGCCATTTGCAAGTTGTGCAGCCGAGGAAGGCGGAGCCTTATGAAGGCAGGCGGCGTGGCGGTGAGGGAGAGTAACAGAGCAAGTAGTGACTTCACTGAAATCTTCTAGGTGCTTTCGAAACCATCTTGCAGATGCGTGTCGAACTGCCTTGATTGGCTGCAGACTTCGAGGTTGCAACTGCGGAAGGCCCCTGCTGGCCCGGCACGAGAAAGATCTACAGTCGTGTAAACCTTGCATCGCTTTGCATCGTGAAGCCTTCATTCTATAAGGTCCGGAACCTCAGAGTAACTCCCATAAAGACCCTATGACTCGTCCTGACCTCCAATGTCCTGAATCTCGACATTGTGCCAAGCATCGCGCAGGACGATGCGATAGGCCGGGCGTCTGCACGATTAGCGCAGCCATGTTTTTTACCTTCAGGGGGTGTGCAAGGTTCTCGATATATTCATGGTATATGCTTGACGGTTGTCCTGGAGTTTCGCACCAGTTTCTGCTCAGCTCATCTTATGTACCCGCTACTCTAACCTCGGCAAGCCCATGCAAAGCCCTTTCTCAGCCTTCATTTAGTCCAAGCGACAGGTACTGCTCGAGCTTCGGGCATCGATGCATTGCAGCTGCTGAAGAAAGAGCTGAGACCTGTGAGGCCTGCGTTTACGGTTAAATGCCCCGACCTCAACTGACCCTGTCAGCTTGTGTAAGGCACAAAGAAGGTTCCCACCTAGGCAAAGAGCCCTTCACCTTCGATGGGCTTACCCTAGCACCGCATGCTCAACAACAAGCTGCTGCAACTCATATGCCATGGAGATGCTTGACGTTTGCGTTCTTAAAGCCAACTTGAAGCCCAGCAAGCGCTTCGTACACTGATACTGGAAAGCCTTGCTCCGTGCACGCCGCACACTCACACCCTTCTGCTTCACTGGACCAAAAGCTGCGTTGCCAGACCAAAGAGTAGCAACGCAGAGTTGTTTAGCAATGGTATAAACAACAAAGTGACTAACTTCGAAAATCGATCGACTATGCCAGGTTGAGGAGGAGAAACGCTGCGACGAGGCGCCGGGGCGGGCTTTGGGCGGAAGGCGCCCTCTTCATCATGGAACCGTGGAGCCCAGTCACGCCTCACTGTTTCCTGCAAAGGCCATCTCAGGAACCTCTGACATCCTCTGCACCTGCGAGCGCGATGAGGCCAGCTGCTGAAACCTCGGATCGGCCGGATTCCTGTGTCGAGTTCAAGACCACCTTGAACCTTCCCAAGGGTATACTTTGTGAACACAATGGGTGACATGCCAAAGAAGTAGGCCCAGCGAAGCGAAGGTCGGTACTCCGAGCCCGCCGCCAAGCCCGCCGAGCACGACGCCAAGTCCACCGAGCACGACGCCGAGCCCGCCGAGCACGACACCGAGCCCGCCGAGCACGACACCCAGCCCGCCGAGCACGACGCCGAGCCCGCCGAGCACGACGCCGAGCCGGCCGAGCACGACGCCGAGCCCGCCGAGCACGACGCCGAGCCCGCCGAGCACGACGCCAAGCCCACCGCCCACGGAGCTCTGCGCGCCCTTCGCGGAATGGCCAGATGTGGACGGTGTTACTTGCGGAGGCTGTCGAGCACTCGTGCTCCTCGCTTGCAGCTCCTTCGTGTTCAAGTTTAGGCTTAGACGCATGCTGGTGGTGATGTGGCGCTGTAAGGGGACCATTGGATAAAGGATTCTGTTGGGGTCGCGTTAAGAGGCCCCCACAAGATTTGTTCTGGGTCTGAACAAAAGCTTTGCCGGACCGGGGTCGCGAAAATGAACCTAAGCGGGTGGCTCTTCTGGGCTTCTTTTGGACTTCTTCTTTTTTGGGGGGGTCATTGTATACAGTTTCAGCAAAGCAAGGAATCGATGCTGTCGGCAGGCTCGGTAGATCAGGGATTTTGAGTCTGGAGCTTGCATGAAGGAAGGGGACAGCCACCTGATTCAGGAAGAAGACAGAGGCACGCCCAGGCAAGGAGTTTATGAATCTTCGGGGGCATCGCCAGGGTTGCCAGGGCCTTTTGGAGCTAGCAGCTAGCTGAACACACATGAGTCTAGACAGATCATAGCGCAGCCGGTAGATACGAGCAAGCGCACCCCCACATGCTAGTTTGCTAGTTGCTCGGTGACAGCCGAGGAAGGCGGAGCCTTATGGAGGCAAGCGGAGCGAGGGACTGCACAGCACGGGCCTGTAAAGAGCCCACACACACATGCTTGATACGTGTTGAAGAAGTACTCGGATTGGGTACAGAACTCGAGGCTGCGACAGTGGCCATGCTGGCCCGCTCGAGTAAGATCCATAGTCATGTAAGCCTTGCATCGCTTGGCATCGTGAAGCTTTCAGTGCATAAGCTCCACCGCAAATGCCATGGAGAGTTCTGATCTTGTGCCACTTTCCTTTCGTTCCTGGCACATGTCACACGTCCTGAATCTTGGGCCCCAATGATGCTAGGACGCTGGAATGCTGTGAACTTTTGTTCTTCGCTTGTGACTCCTGACCTCGACTGTCCTGAATCCCGACATGGTACCAAGCACTGTGCAGGACGCTGCGATAGGCCGGGGCGTCATCACGATTGGCGCAGCGGCGTTTTTGTTCCTTCAGGGGGCGTGCAAGGTTCTCGATCATTGTATAGGCATGACGGTTGTGCGACCTGCGTTGTTGCTCCCGCTGCTCTAAACTCAACAAGCACTTGGACGTCTCAGCCTTGGTTTAGTCCAAGCAGCCTGTGCATCTGGACAGGTACTGCTCGAGCTTCGGGCATCGATGCATTGCAGCTGCTGAAGAGACAGCTGAGACCTGTGAGGCCTGCGTTTACGGTTGAATGCCCCGACCTCAACTGACCCTGTAAGGTTGTGTAAGGCACAAAGAGGGTTACCCACCTAGGCAAAGAGCCCTTCACGTTCGATGGGCTAACCCTAGCACCGCATGCTCAACAACAAGCTGCTGCAACTCATATGCCATGCCGCACTGTACCTCACTGAGATGCTTGACGTTTGCGTTCTTAAAGCCAACTTGAAGCCCAGCAAGCGCTTCGTACACTGATACTGGAAAGCCTTGCTCCGTGCACGCCGCACACTCACACCCTTCTGCTTCACTGGACCAAAAGCTGCGTTGCCAGACCAAAGAGTAGCAACGCAGAGTTGTTTAGCAATGGTATAAACAACAAAGTGACTAACTTCGAAAATCGATCGACTATGCCAGGTTGAGGAGGAGAAACGCTGCGACGAGGCGCCGGGGCGGGCTTTGGGCGGAAGGCGCCCTCTTCATCATGGAACCGTGGAGCCCAGTCACGCCTCACTGTTTCCTGCAAAGGCCATCTCAGGAACCTCTGACATCCTCTGCACCTGCGAGCGCGATGAGGCCAGCTGCTGAAACCTCGGATCGGCCGGATTCCTGTGTCGAGTTCAAGACCACCTTGAACCTTCCCAAGGGTATACTTTGTGAGCACAATGGGTGACATGCCAAAGAAGTAGGCCGAGCGAAGCGAAGGTCGGCACTCCGAGCCCGCCGAGCCCGCCCGTGCCCACAGAGCCGGTCTGTTTTGGTGAGCTCCCAGGGCTCGCGCAGAACGAGGGTGGGAGTGTGGGCCAGCTGCTCGGCGGAGTGAACAGAACTTTTCTCATTTCGAGTGCCATGCTCTTCCCGAACAGTGTGCCAACTCCAAAGGGTTCCAACGTGAAGGGTGCGAGCGCCGGGGCTGCGTTGCGGGCGCAGGCTGCACGCCCGCTGCGGGTGTGGAGAATCACGTTCTCGCCTAGGCGCCGGCGTGGCCGCGCTCGCCGCCCCACAAAAACTGTCAGCGCTTTTTGGACTGGGTTTGCAAAATTCGAAGTTGTCGCTTCATTTCGATATCTGGCAGTTGTTGAATTTTGGTTTCTGTCTTCACCAAATGCCAGACCTGCCATGGCTTTTGGCCTTCTGGCGCACAATGGTGTCTCGCTGTTTGGGGTTGACTCTGGCAGAATTAGAGACCTAGACCTCGGCTAGGCCCGGCTAGGCTTCAGAGTTTTAGCCTGTGCGAAGCCGGAGAGAGGGAGGGAGAGAGATAGAGAGAGAGAGAGAGAGAGAGATAGAGAGAGAGAGAGAGAGATAGAGAGAGAGAGAGAGAAAGACCTTGAGACCTTGTCGCAGATTCGCTGGGGTCCACGTAGAGATACATCAGGTGATGAGGTGACTGGCACTTCTGGTTTCCATAAACAAATGTGCCACCCTGTGGCTCAACCCCTGCACTGATCAAGGGCATCTACCTCATCCGCGTCGGAGTGCCAACGCAGCTGCCAGGAGAATGCCGCCTGCAACAGCGTATCCTTCTGCCCCTCGACTTGATGCGCTTTTGCGCTCAGAAGACCTGCAAGCGATGTCCATAACCAGGCAACCCTCCAACAACTCTCAGCCTCTTCGCAAAAGCCCCGCCCGGAACGAACGACGATGCCAGGCAGCGAGTGGGGCTGCTTTTTGAAGGATCGTAGCTTCACCGGCACGGAAGCGACGCGGGTGAAAGGCACCTGCAGGACTCGTTGTTGATACTTAGATTCTTGCGATCTCTCTCTTTCGCCTCCCCTCACAGACAGGACCTACTTCAAGATCCCATGCAGCGCAACGACCCCGACGCCCACGAGCACCACCCGCAGTGGCTACTTCAAGCTGCGGGCCGGGACCCGCATGTTGGAACGGCATGTTTCGGGTTCGCCTGTAAGAGCGGCACAGCGGGGTTTTCTTGCACAGATCATGTTCCAGGTATGGTTGTCATCATTCAGTTGTATGTTTGAGATCAGCGCAAGTGACAGCTTGCGTTGGTGGTTGGTGAGGTGGTCTTTGGGCTGATTTCTTAAGATGTGTTGCGGAGGTGGTCTCCTACAACCTCTACTGGTGGAACGCCTTCGGACAGAACCCATGGAAGGGCGAGAAGATTCTCGCCAACATCAGGGACAACCTCGGGGCCCACTCCATCGGCCTGCAGGAGTGTGACTCCCCGTCCCGGATTCAAGAGTCGACGGGCTTGGCTCAGGCCTCGAAGTTCGCTGGTGCTCAGGGTGTGATGATGGATTCCTCCAAGCTGAGGGTAGTGGCAGGCACGTCAGGATCACAGGACTTGCAGGCAACAGGAAAATGGGGCCCCCGGCATGTCACATGGGTCCAGCTTGCCGACAAGGCCACTGGGAAATCATTCTGGCACTTCAACACCCATTGGTGCGTGGCCAATGGCAACGGGCGGACTTGCAACGAGGCGGTGCGCTACACAGGGGCCAAGAACATGCTGGATGTCATCCGCGCAAAAGCCGGCAACTCCCCCACAGTTGTGACTGGCGACTTCAACGCCAACATGAACGAAAAGGGCCCTCAGCACTTTCTGCAGAATGGCTTCAGGCTGGCCATCGTTGAGTGGGTGGATGCCATTTTCTATTCGGAGCATTGGAAGCTTGTTTCCCAGGGCAGGGGTGATGCAGCTGAGAGTGACCATCGCCCAGTCTTTGCGGAGCTGGAGCTACTGTAAAGCTCTGCTTAGTAAAGCTCCGTTGTATGCACTGCTCTGCTATGAGCTCCTTGTAATCTCATGCTTTGCGACAAGTTGACTGAGTTTAGCTTCGTTTCCACAATTTGCTGCTACAAGACAAGTGTGTAGCATTTTTGTCGGCCGTGCGCTGGCATGGCGAATTCAACACGTACAGTTGCAGTCACGGAAACTCAGCTGCACTTTTGCTTGGCAGTGCAGCATCCACTTGAAACCTGGTGAATGCACTCACTGCGACACCCTTTGAAGCCGGGCTCTCGTGCATCGAAGGAAACCTGCGTAGTAGGTTTCCTGATGGTCCTGATGTGTGTATTTAACGCATTTATCTCTGAACGCCTTCTCAGTCATCTCCCCCTTGTTCTGCATGGCCCAGCCTCCATGGCCCAGTTCATGAAGGTGCGGTGCAGGCGTTGCGCCTTTTGCACCCTGAGAGAGCCCAGCTCGGAGGCTACAGTATTGTGCCCTTCCCAAGTGTCCAAGCTGCAGTCTCGGAGGGCACTCAGATTCAAGCCGGGACACAGGCTCGGGACACAGTTGTGAAGCATTTGTTTCCTTTCCATGGCGCCTCTGTGTGCAGCTTGCAGCTTGGGGAGACAAAGATGCATCGGCTAAGCGGCGGTTGCATCACAAAAGAGGGACCCAGCAGCTTGTGCACGAGACTGCACTCAATACGGGCAGGATCAACACGTGAGCGGAGGGGTCCACTGGCTTTCAGCCACACACACATGCCACGACACTTGTCAATCCACGCAGCCTCTAACTGGCAACGCTGATTCGACTTCAGTGCAGCCTTTGGAAAGCATGAACGGCATGGCCATGGAAAGTTTGTGCATCTTCCTTGAAGTTCCCGACGTCCCTGAGATGGGAGACCATGCCGGGCCCGCGCTGGAAGGTGGTTGGCGGCGGGGACAAAGGTGGAATTCTGGCACCTTTGCCTGAACCGCCGGGCAGCAGGTGTAGCACGTGTGTGGAGTTCGGATTGTTGGGCCGGGGCTGGGTCCGGCTTCCAAGCTCTGCAGGGCCGTGCCCTAGAGAGTTCTAAAGGTTCTACAGTGCAACTATACCCCGGCCAGTGTCTTCGTGTCCTACAGCGAGTGGATACTACTCAGCACTGCCCTCGACAATGCTTAGGAGCCAGGAAGCCCTGTTGGAGCTCGACGTGCTCTACTAGCCAATACCAAACCGTGGCTGAAAACAAAGCAGAAGCCGCCCAGAAGCCCTGGACCCCACAAGCAGCGCCTGCAACGCGTGAGGTGCGCGAGAAGAGGGAGACCACTTCTGAGCAGCTGGAAGCCAGACTGGGCACCGATGCTGTAGTTGAGGCGCTCGAGGGGAGTGTTTGGGATGCTCAGGATGTTTTAGGATCTCAGAAACGGCAAGTGCAATGCAAGGGACTTTTGAAGGCTAAGGGCATGTCTCGTTCAAACCTCCTGAAGCTCACACCTCAGGCGCCCGGCGCCTCAGATATAATGAAGTAGCATGTAACCCGTTTCGTAAGAGCTCTGGTATCCTGATCCTTCCTTCCCGGCACCTTTCCCATCTTTGCCCCGAACAGTTTCGGTTATTGCTTTCACCCCCAGAGCAGGAGCTGCAGCTCTCGGGTGATCGGCTTCACTTTAAGAAGATCGAGGGTGATGGCCCAGACACGGGCTGGGTCAGCATTAGGCGCGGGGGAGATGGAGATTCTTTTTTTTTTTTTTGGGGGGGGGGGGGGGGGGGGGGGGGGGAGAGGAATTAAAGCATCTTGGAGATCTCTTCAAGCTGGGCGTGTCACAAAGCAGAGGTCCTGCTAAGAAGTGTGTCAGAGGTTTCTGCGCAGATTGACGCATGCAGAAACGGGTGCAGCGACAGCAAGAAAGCTGAAGCCGAATTCATTTTCGATGTTTTGCATCCCAGTCTGCCCAGTCTGCCCAGTCTCCAGGCTGAAGGGAAAGGAGCTGCTTGTGGCCTTGGATGCGGACCGAGGGCCACAACCCCTCGCCACCTGGAAGGACCAGCGTCCCTTCTTCGTCTCACAAAAGAGTCACTAGAAATAGAAGTTCGGTCTGTGATGGTATGTGTTGGTCATCACATGTGACATATGCTCGGTGATTCGTGGAAAGCGTTGAGGCTGGGTTTCAGGGTATATTGGCGCAGTGTCGTTGAGATGTCGGTGTCTTTGAGGAAGGCCGTGCCGCAAGGCGCCGCAGTTTTTCGGAATTAGGACTAAGTAGGCGTGGGTTTTGAGGTTTCCTGACCCGAGGGCACATCATGGTGCAGGACCTTTGGTTGCCTTGCTCCTTGGTGTAGGTCTCCCGATGTGGGTTCGATGAAGAAGTCTGAGCAAGTGCTTCTGATACCGCGCGGGCTTAAACGCGAGAACTCGGTGTGACAGGCTCGAGGGTAGGCTTGCTGACTCCTTCAGTTTTTCATGGCGCAAGATGATCCGAAGATGGAGCCTCCATTGAGATTGAAGAAAGCAGGCTGCCCATCATTATGAGGTCGAGTTTCCCTGTGCTTATCTGCGTAAGGCTTTGCAGCGGGTGCATGGGATTCAATGCCGAGTTGGAGAAGGATGCATGCACGCAATCTGATTGGAGCTGGCATGGGGTGCGTGAGAACTTGTTTGATCTGGTCAGGGCCAAGAAGGCGCCATATTGGGATTTCCGGAAAGCGCCTTTTCTATCAAATTTGCTAAGTCAAGCTCCCAGAGCTCCCAGAGCTTGCCGTTGGTGTGCATTCGAAGAAGCAGAATGCCCGATGGGGGAGGCAGCCCTTCTCGTTGCCGAATTTTTGACCTCGGAGGACCAATCGTATTTGGAAACGGCCCTTCTTCTGATGCAAAAGACTCTCGGTACTTCTTGACCTGGTGATGCCATTGTTTTAATTCGGTACGCGGGTTCTTCTTCTTTAAGCTGCTTTTGATTTGTGACCTGAGAGCTCTAGGCTGTCGATAGAGCGAGTGGTGGCATCCACGTGGCCACTGTTTGGTCTGCTTGCGCAGGCACAGGAACTGATGTCTGCGAAAGGAGATGCCAGCTTTGCACCTGTTTGTCCAGAGGCTGCCTCAATGGTTGTGGATATTGCAGAGCTGAAGCCCGGCCTGGGGAACCAGAGCAGGGAAGTGCGGATGTTTCGACGGCGAGTCCTTGGCGGAGGTGCGTTCCAAGCCTGCCGTGGGGATCGCAGAGCTTCTGCGGCTTCGCTGCTCCTGACTGCTTTGGATGCGGATTTTGAGGATCCCAAGCTTTCCGACATGGCTCAGTCCATGGGATCACAGTGGCCGTGGCTACTCTTTCGCAGCACCTGGCCTAGCTTGACGTTGCTGCACCAGCTACAGGCTTGGGATGAAACTGGTGCGCTCAAGACGGAAGTCAAAGCTTGTCAAGAACCGATTGACTCGGAATGGATACCTTGCATAGTAGGGACTGGGGATCATGTTGGCAATGATTTAGGCTCCCGTGTTCAGCCAAATAAGCCCTTCTAGTACTATAGTTCTTAATTAGTAGGAAGTCAGGGAACTCGGTATTTTTTTCCCACCCATAGTTCTCATAACACCCAAAAGCCACACCCTGGGAACGTCCCAGCCTAGGCCCTAAACTGCGACATTCCTTGCCTACAGAGGTGGCCCACCGAGAAAGATTCTGCTCGAAAGCCTGGCCGGGTGCGTATGGATTGCTGACACGGTCACATCCTGTGAGTACGTGGATGTGCGTCGTGCCACGGTTTGGCAGTAAGGAATTCTGGACGTGGAAAGACCGGGGTTTAACCCATGACTGTACGCATATTGTTCAGTCCGTTCTCGGAAGCTTCTCGCCTTCATCAGGCTGTTTGTTCCTTGATGTCGGTGCCAACATGGGCTGCATTGGGCTCAGCCTGGCGCAGCGGAGTTTCGAAGTGATTGCGTTGGAACCAGCAAAACAGTCGGCATCGCTCATCCGGGGAGCTGTCGCCAAAAACAGGCTTGAAACGCGAATGAGGGTCGTGGAGGCGGCAGCCGGAGCTGTCTCAGGCTCATCGGTGCTACGTTGTCCCACGCATCCACAGAACATCCTTGGCCAGTGTACTGTTGGTGTTCTGGACAAGAACTTCATTCTCGAGTATGCTGAGCAGGAGGTGGTCCAGGTCGCGCTGTCTGACGTTGTAATGGCGCAGAAGGGGAAGAAGGTTTGTGGCATGAAAATGGATGTGGAGGGCAATGAGGAGGAAGCCTTGCGTGGAGCCGGCGCAGTCTTGTCACAGAGGCCCATCATATACATCGATATTCACGATGCAATGTTGCGCCAGCGTGGCAGAAGTGCCGCTGGCGTCTGGGATGTACTGAGCAGTTTTGGGTACCATCGCCTTGTGGACTATTCGAACCTCGACTGTTGGATGGTTGGCCTTGGACGCTGGATGAACTTTCGTTGGCAAGAAGGATCAGAACTGGACCCGCTGTTGACGTTGACAGTTCCACCCGGAGCAGATCGTTGCTTCTGCCTTCATGCATGTGCGGAGCGAATGTCTGAGGGCTGCCGCTGCTGGGAAGTCGGCCAAGCCAATCAAAGCAATGAATCACCCGCGCGCCTTGGCACCGCCTAGTCTTGCCTGTGGCAACGCATGTTGTGGTAGGTACAAAGACAAAGGCGAAGGTCCAGAACTTGTGATTCCAGACCAGACAGGCCTGCCCGGAGAGCACGATGGAAAGTTTGAAATGAAAGTTATCAAGTCCTGGGCAAAGCAACTTGCCTGACTTGTCTGCGAAAGCTAAGGCTTTGCCACTTGTACCGACGCTGCCCCGTTGGATGGTCGGAAGATCGAGCGTACGGCCTTCGACCGGCGCGTGGCTGGTGGGCAAGCGATTTGTTCGGTAGGTGGATTGTCACGTAGGGATGCGTAGGGCAAAGAGTTCTCGATCCGAAAAGCCGAAAAGCCCGATGCTCCGTTGTCAGGGACTTGCCAGGTTAGTTTCCAATTGCTGGATGCTCAAACTAGAAGTTCGGTCTGTGATGGTATGTGATGGTCATCACAGTCATCACATGTGACATATGCTCGGTGATTTGTGGAAAGCGTTGAGGCTGGGTTTTCAGGCTATATTGGCGCAGTGTCGTTGAGATGTCGGTGTCTTTGAGGAAGGCCGTGCCGCAAGGCGCCGCAGTTTTTCGGAATTAGGACTAAGTAGGCGTGGGTTTTTGAGGTTTCCTGACCCGAGGGCACATCATGGTGCAGGACCTTGGTTGCGTTGCTCCTTGGTGTAGGTTTCCCGATGTGGGTTCGATGAAGAAGTCTGAGCAAGTGCTTCTCATAAGATATCCTTCTCATGCCGCGCGGGCTTAGACGCGACAACTCTGTGTGACAAGCTCGAGAGAGCCAAGAGCGCGACCATGTAGCTGCACGCAATGTGTGTAGGCAGGCTTGCCGAGTCCTTCAGATTTTCATGGCGCAAGATGTGAAGGGTTTGATCCGAAGATGGGGCCTTTATTGAGATTGAAGAAAGCAGGCTGCCTATCATTATGAGGTCGAGTTTCCATGTGCTTATCTGCGTAAGGCTTTGCAGCGAGTGCATGGGATTCAATGCCGAGTTGGAGAAGGATGCATGCACGCAATCTGATTGGAGCTGGCATGGGGTGCGTGAGAACTTGTTTGATCTGGTCAGGGCCAAGAAGGCGCCATATTGGGATTTCCGGAAAGCGCCTTTTCTATCAAATTTGCTAAGTCAAGCTCCCAGAGCTCCCAGAGCTTGCCGTTGGTGTGCGTTCGAAGAAGCAGAATGCCCGATGGGGGAGGCAGCCCTTCTCGTTGCCGAGTTTTTGACCTCGGAGGACCAATCGTATTTGGAAACGGCCCTTCTTCTGATGCAAAAGACTCTCGGTACTTCTTGACCTGGTGATGCCATTGTTTTAATTCGGTACGCGGGTTCTTCTTCTTTAAGCTGCTTTTGATTTGTGACCTGAGAGCTCTAGGCTGTCGATAGAGCGAGTGGTGGCATCCACGTGGCCACTGTTTGGTCTGCTTGCGCAGGCACAGGAACTGATGTCTGCGAAAGGAGATGCCAGCTTTGCACCTGTTTGTCCAGAGGCTGCCTCAATGGTTGTGGATATTGCAGAGCTGAAGCCCGGCCTGGGGAACCAGAGCAGGGAAGTGCGGATGTTTCGACGGCGAGTCCTTGGCGGAGGTGCGTTCCAAGCCTGCCGTGGGGATCGCAGAGCTTCTGCGGCTTCGCTGCTCCTGACTGCTTTGGATGCGGATTTTGAGGATCCCAAGCTTTCCGACATGGCTCAGTCCATGGGATCACAGTGGCCGTGGCTACTCTTTCGCAGCACCTGGCCTAGCTTGACGTTGCTGCACCAGCTACAGGCTTGGGATGAAACCACCCACCTCTATAGGGTTACGGCCTTTAGGGTCAAAATAAAGGTTGGGATATAGGCATAGGGGCCAGATGCGATGAAAGTGAAAGTGAAACAAGAGTCATTTCGAGTCATCAGTGGAGTTACTGACCCTAAAAGTAGCAGCTTGTCATGACGTGTGCAAAAGTGACTCGCTGTCATTATAGTTAGTTTCTGAAATATTGTACCTGCTTGCTGAGGCTTGAGGAACCTAACGAGTGGCCGCCTCCGTTCATCTCTCAAGCTTTTAGATGTGGCGACCCTTCCTGCTCCTCGCCGCATGGGCGGCTTCCTTGCTGCAAGACTCCACCACTTCTGTGCAGTGTGAGTGCAACTGCACTTGCGCAGTGGAGCACAGCGAGTGCGCACCCAGCAGCTGGAAGTGGGAGCTGGTCAAAGGTCTGTTGTTCACCGTTGTCGGCGCTGCTTGGCAGTCATTGTTCAGTGGGTTGCGGTGGTTTCTAAGCTGGCTTTCGAGACTCAGAGCTGGCAACGAACGTTCCGCATCTGTCAACGAGCTTTCGCAGGCAGCACTGAGTGTGGAGGACAGAGCCAAAGAGCAGCTGCAGGTCCTTAGACGCCGACGGACAGAGCTCTCACGCTGATGTCACTGGCGGAAGGGACCCGAGTGTACATCTGCTATGACC